CAATTCGACATACGACGATATCTTATTGAGGAACCAACACCCTCTTTTGGAAAATTTCTCTACTCCATCGGGCGTGCGATGCAGCACGTAGCATTTCTGATTAGGGCAAAAAGTAGGAACTTTTGTATGATTCGGTCTTGTGGTCTGTGGATTTGATGGGAGGCTGAGTACTCGCAAAATCCACTTACGATAGTTGAATCTGATGTAAGGATCCACTCGACCGGCTAGAGGAAGAAGGCAAGAAAAATGAAAAAAAATAAAGAAAAAAATTCAAAAAATTCAAAAAAAATTAAAATATTATTAAAAATTGCCCACATAAGCGTTGATCATGCCACGTAAGGTGGTCCGCATCTACATCAGCGATTTTTTGCAAAAATTGGTTGGATAGACTCAATTGGCAAAACGGAAAAGGATTTAGGATTCAATTAGTAAATCATCGAAAGGCTTATGACTGGATTGACAAAAGTAGGAAAAATTATACAAAAAGTCTTAAACCTACTGTATATAGGCCAATTCAGTCCTAAGCCTTTCAATTATGCCAATTTAGTCCTAAACCTTTTGAAAATTAAACAATTTAGTCATAAACCTTTTTGATGATTTACCAATGTAATTCTTCCGGCCAAATATCCAAATAATGGGTTTATAAATAAATTGGTAAATTTTCAAAAAATTTAAGACTAAATTAACACAATTGAAAAGCTTATGACTGAATTGGCTATCGTAAAATAATTTGAGGCTTTTTAGATAATTTTCCCTTATCGAGGAGCACCCTCTGTTGGAAAATCTCTCTACTCCATCAGGTGTACAATGTAGCACGTACCATTCCTGATTAGGGAAAAAGTAGGAACTTTTGTATGATTCGACCTTGTGTAGGTCTTGCGGTTTGAGGATTTGATAGGATGATGAGTGCTTGCGAAATCCACTTACGATAGTTGAATCCGATGTAAGGATCCACTCGTTCGTTTTTTCCGAGTTTTAGTGGACTTGGGAGCTTCCCTCATCGTGTTGTCTAGGGTTTCGGTTGGAAGAAAACTTGTCCGATCTGGGGGCCAAACACAATCCAAATTAGTCCGTTTCTTCTTTACACCTACAAAATAACTAACAGAGGGATTTCGTGCCTTGTTCACCAAATCATACATGCTTTTCACCAGGATAAACCATGTTATTATTGAAGATTAAGCTATGTTGTAAGAGTTTACTTTGCAGATTATTAAATTATAAGACCATAAGCTTGAGGTATTAGCAAGTGGAGAAGGATTCTGTATATAGAAGTATGGTCGTGATGAACCACATGAACGAGCAGTGCGTGCTATAACGATTTGTTCTCGATAATGTGATGGATGAACAAAAAAAAACAATAGGGATCTGCGCCGGGGTATACGCATGAGCTTTTGTTATTTCACCGTGAGCACGGAGAATAAGAACAAATAGAAAAGATGTGATTATATACGGGAAATTTTGTCCGGTTTTTCGTATGTAGATTATTATCGGTTTCTTCTGTTTTATATATGTTAATGAACTCTTGTATAACGAATGAGTCGCCATATTGACCTTTCCAAACTGTTTTGCAAAGGAAAAGATAAAAATCGTTCTACGGAACATTGTAGACATTTAGTTGTGCGATGTCTCATGTTTCATCCGCCCGAATTTTGACTTGTGACATATTGATCTATGAAATTAGTGACATTATTTTAAAGCACTTTGGCTATCTAAGTTTGAGTTTTTCTAACTTGATAAATGAGTATTCGTGGCTAGCAAAAGGGCCTTGCCTTTGACCAAAGTGGCGAAAGCCAAACACTACTCGAGAGAGTCCTCCTCGTGTCGACGGCCATCATCACTCAGTGAGAAAAATCATCTTGGTAGTTCGGGAAGGATAATAGCCACACGCCCATGATTACGATGATGATTCCATGTCGAGCTTTCCTTTTTGTGTTTCATGCGCCATCTTCTCGGATTTCCCTGGGTCATTCATGAGCAGCACTTTTTTTGCTAACCTTTTCCCAAACAATAGAAGGGGGAGAGAAGAAAGGTGGGACAGAAATTTGAAGCTATTGATGAATTAATACTATAAGGTCAATGGCCAAAACAAAAAAATAGAAAATGATTAACGGTAACGGATTTTTTAGGGTTTTTAAAGTACATCAGATGCGTAAGATACTTATCACAGGGCACGTATTTATTAGGGCTATGCAACCAGTTCAATTATATCCGGAAACCGGACCGAACTAACCATAGAAACAAGTTCGGTTTCTAGGTCCAAATATTCGTAATTGGTACTATGCGAGTAGGTACTAGGTTCTGGATGTTAAACCCACCCACCGGAGAACCAGCGGTTAGAGCTTGTTTTATGAAGTTGGAAGAAGATGATTTATCTTTCTTAAATGAAGATAACTTTTCTATTACTTTATACTTCTGTTTGTTTTATATTGATATATTACTTTGAGTTGTTTTGTTACTCGTATCATTTTGCTATAATTGCTATTTGTCTCGATTAAAAAAAGGAAGCAAAAAAATTGGAACCCGGATTGAAAATACAGGTTAAGTTCCGGGACAAATAGGGTAGGTTTTCAATTCAAAAAAATTGAAAATCGATTTTAACATGGTAGATTTCAGGTTCCAGATTTCAGGTTTCAGATTTAGAACCTACCCATCCTAGAATCAATCAGTCTTAATTTTTACAGCAAGAATGCTGGTACCATAAATGAGGAATGTGTTTCTCATTTATAGAAAAATAGGAGGATGTTCAATGTGAGATGAGGCGAAGCTCATAACGTTACGCTAGCATAGGTCAACTTACACACTGGTCGACCAACAAGTAAGTAAACAACCGAGGTTTTTCCCCCATTTTTTAAAGTTGATTTTTACAGATCCAGGGTTTTTCCTTACGCATGCAAAGCATGCGAATAAGAAAACATTATGACCTTAGTGGACAACTGAAGACAATTACAAACTAATCTGTGACCAGGAAACGAAGTTTCTGAAATTCAAATTTGTGGGGTAAGTCCAATAGAATTTGACATGTCTTGTATAATTGCATTAAATTATCGTATCATATTCGATCCACGTTTTACGGTGACTAACGTTGTAGAAAAGTATTTCGAAAAACTTCCATTCCTTATTTTTACTCGTCCCGCATTACTCAAGAAACTCTCTTTTGTCCACTTTATTAACGATTTCACTTTACTAGTTTCGAAATCACATAAAATAAGTGTCGGGTTCACAGGAGTATGTATATGTTTCAAATGTGTTGTATTGGGGTATATTTAGGTTATCCTATTAACTATAGCTATTATGTTTGTCTAGATGTATTGGATTGGGGTCATATTTAGATTATCTAATTGCGTCCAGAATCAGTGGGTTCTAAGACCCAACTTGGTGTAATCCATTCGTGCAAGATATGAGAAAAACGGAGACGGAATTTCCAATTGTGTTTCACGGAAAATACAAGATGGCTTGGCCATTAATACATTACCTTAAAGAAGGACTCGATGTTAGGGATCGATATTTCTAAATTATATCTCAAATTTGAATCCGTAAAAGAAATCCAATTTATGTAAAATCTTCAAACCCAAATAGGATTATGGTTTGACGTCCGAACAAGTAATAAATTTTAGACATATTTTCCACGTTTGAGTTGGATTCCTAGTTTGAATAGGTTTTCTTGGTTTGAGTCAACAATTTGTATAAAGAACATGTATAAACAAAATTTTTCTAGATTATTACACACTAGAGAAAATAAAAAGAGTGTTAAGTTTTTTTCCAGTGAGTTTTTTGAGTTAATTCTTTGTGAAAAATGGTGAGATAACACTTATCGATTTTATTTTGGGGATAATTTACGGTCAGGAAACACTCGAGCGATTGTAAATTCTGGATTTTCCTAGTTCATAGTGGATTTGTCAATGGCCGGCTCTTCTTTGTAAAAATGTATCGGCACTTCAACCGAACTATATAAATCTTCGGTGACTTTGTCGGTCATCATTAATTTCACTAATAATTTCTTGTTCTCTCGTGGCATTTGAATTGCATGACCGGTTATTTTCCGCATCATTTCCCCAACAACCATGATGATAAGACAGAAGTCATCAATCAAGGTCAACTTACATGGAATTGATTTCGGTGCGTTCACGGATCAGTGTCCCGCCAAAAAGCTTAGCATCTTCAATAAGCTCGTCATATAATCTTGGACGAAGAAAAAGTTTAGACAAGTCCAACTTTCCTCTCCATCCTAGTCCTTATCTATCTTCCTCGATGCTTTTTCAGCCCTCTCGATTACTCAAAAAGAAAAGCCCATTGACGCCACGTACAACAGTTAAATACTAAAAGATGCACTGAACGCGCCGTCGTCGAGATCTTTGCTACTTCAATTAGGTCTCAGCACAGTAAATTCTGTATATACAAGAAATACGGGATCGATAGAGAGCGTTTTGAACAAATCAAAAGATAATAGCGATTGAAATTGGGACCCTTTAAAAACTCAAACGTCTTATAATAGCGTCAGTTCGATATAGGGTTCGCCTATTTTATCAATTATTTATCGGTACTGTTACCCCTCGTCGTACGGAGATGGGACCGTGGATAACGTTACAAAAACATAAGACTACATAAGAATGTGCCCTCCTAAGTCCGATGGGGACTACAGTAACGCGAGATTCCGAATTTACCCCCGCGGGCAGGTTCGGGTAGGTTCGTTGTTGCCCCCCCCGGCGCGCGCGCCTTCTCAGAGCGTTAGTTGCGCCAGAATTAACGATCTCTCAAAATTCCCAAAAGAAAAAAAAAAACGAAAACTTCAAAATCAACAGAAAAGGAATAAAGATAATAAATAAATAATAAGAATGATAACGGGATTGCGTCATCAAAAGGAGATTTCGCGCCCCGCGACTCGACTCGAGGCTCTATATAAGTGGCGAAAGAGAGAGTCAAAGGCTTTTGTGTGTGTGTGTGCGTGTGTGTGTGTGTGCGTAAGTCGGAGCAAGTTTTACCGCTTGTTTTGGCCCGCATCAATGGCGGCTGCCGGCGGTAAGCCGTCTTCCCTCCCGTTGTTCCCCTGTTTCGGCCGCGGCCCCCCAAAACAGAGCCCATCGTTTGTGTTTTTACTTTTGTTGCCGTTGTTGTTGTTGTTGTTGTTGCTGCAGAGGAGACGGAAGGAGGTCGAGGGATTCCGGAGAAGTGGCCGGGGCCGGATGGCATCGGGAAGGAGGAGGCCGGCGGCGGCGAGGAGGACCCGGTGGCGTCCCCGCGGGGCGTCCTGGAAATTCCGTCGCTAGGGTCAGACTCCGATCACAGCAGCAGCAGCAGCTCGTCCTCGACGGCGGCGGCCGAGAAGCCGACGGCGGCTCAGAGGCTGCACTGGTGGGGCGTGCTGGACGCGCTGAGGCGGAGTTCGGCGAAGAAGCAGATGCTTCCGCTGCTGGCGGCGGGGAGCCCGGCGAAGGGGAGGGCCGACGCGTGCGAGCTGGACGCTCCTTCTTCGCGGAGAGGATCGAAGACCACGACGGCCACGATGACGAAGAAGAAGAAGAAGAAGTTGCTGCGGATTCGCAGCGCCGAGGACGGGATGGATTGCGGGGCTCTGAATCTGCCGGCGTCGAAGCCGACTTGGCGGAGCTTCGACCTCGCGGAGCTCGTGGCGGCTACGGACAATTTCTGCCCTGGTAAATTTCGAAATTTTTAAAGTAAGGAAAATTTCTCGCATTCCCCTCTCCTTTCTCTCTTTCTTTTCTCAGAATTGCATATTCAAAAACATGCACTCAAAGCTATTCTTACATGAACTCGATTCGTCTCGATCGTTATTTCATTCACCGTTCCGTTCGGTTCGGTTCGAATTTAACATTAAAAGAAACAGAGCACGAAATACCGTATCATGAACAGTAGTGAGGTTCATGCAATGATCTCCCCTTCTGTTCATGTCCTGAGACGTGTACGGTCGAGGGTCGGGGCGGGGGATCAGGAAAGTGGGGCGCCTGCTTCGTCCTCGCTTTTTGCAGGGGGCCTGCTCCTCGGAAAATCAATGTAGCGGGCCTAGCGGCTGGTTGAATCGGTCGCGCCTCTTTGTTTGGACTCCCGCGTGATTTCCTATGCTCTGCTTTCTTTCCCAGAACGTGCTTCAAGAAACAGGGAGAAGATGGCGATGGCAGGGGAGGGACCCGGGTGTTTGATCGGTCCCCTCCCCGCCACCATTACATTTTTTGATAGTTCTGTTCTTGTTGACTCGCGTGGATTCGCGGAAAAATTTCAACTTTATTGACTGCTATCTCGAAACCATTCCCGAAAAACTGGTAGAATTTACACATTTGACTGCTGCCCGTGTGTGCATCTTTAGCTTTTTTTAACGTGGAATGACTTGCGCATGTTCCTCGTCCTTGTGTTTTGGCTTGCATGATGGTATTCAGATATGACGAGGTTGATGTTTCGTTGACTTGGCGATGTAAGTCCTCCCTGTTTTCTTCTTTTTTAATCTTTTGATATTCTGTAAAGAGTTCAATTCAACTAGATTAACTGTAGAGACGGCCCGTCCCTCCAATTTCTTTTTCCCAATTCAGAGGAGAAAAGGTCCATTCGACGGTCATCAACTACGATCATGAGTAGGCGAAACAGATGCGTGAGAGTGACTGATCGTTTGGTTAGCTCTTGTGGTCTCTGGATAGCCACTTTGGATGTTCCAACTTAGATATGTGATGTTTTAGGTGCTGAAAATTCGTCGACATCCGACTTCTTTTTTGACTTTTTGGTCAGACCCAATTGCGCAAAAGAGCAGAGGGCGGTAGGTATGCTGATGGAACAGCCGCAGCGAGATTCACGGCTTTAAATCGTGCCTTTGTCCACAGATACTTTGCACGCTTACTCCCACGAGGAGTATTTGGGAGGGATAAGTGCAAAAACAGAATTTAACGTTTTGACCCTTGATCAATAAAGGGGTTAAAACTTTAGAATTTGAAGTTTTAGAAAAAGCCCGAATCAAGTCTCGAGCGCACCACGGGTGGGAATTCAGGCATCGGAAACTCCCCCGTGAAAATGTTTGGTCATTTTCGACGCCTGAATTCCACTAACAACTGCCTCGAGACCGAATTATGGCCTTTTCGATTTATCACTGGCCAAAACCTTATATATAGTTTATGCACTCATCCCATATTTGTGAATATACTCACCTTTGTGTGATACGGATCTACACAGTGAAAGTGTGAACAGATGGTCTTTGCGAATTCCAAAGACTGCGATCTACTTTTGACCAAGAAAGGAAACGACACGACACCAACAAATGAAAAAAACAAAAGTGTTGACGAGGGACCAGCCACTCCGGATTTGGTCAAAGCCCGGGAGTGGCTCAATATGAATCCCTTTTTTTGGCGCGAGTGATTGGACGTTTATCAGCAAAGTAATTTCATTAAGCTATTCAGGGCAACCTATGCTTTTCATTCACTGAAGTCTCAACCTATCTTTGAAATCATGTTTTTGACTGTAATCCAACCTAATGATGGACAAAATCAAAATCTGTGGTGCTTCAAGACAGTTCCAAATCAGTTGCTACTATAGACGATTGAGTTCGTGTTCATTGGTGCATAAAGAGGAGGGAAATCATTGAAATTTAAGTATAATGTGAGTAACTCAGCCTGATTCTTTCTCGATCCATTTCAGAGAACTTGATAGGCAAAGGAGGGCATGCCGAAGTGTACAAAGGGCGATTATCGGATGGCCAACTCGTAGCGGTGAAGCGATTGCTCAAGAAAGATAAGGAAGAAGAGACTAAGACTGCCGATTTCTTGTCTGAACTGGGGATCATAGCCCACATTGACCACCCGAATGCGGCTCGGTTGCTCGGGTACGGCATCGATGGGGGTCTGCACCTTGTTCTCCAGTTCTCTCCTCACGGGAGCCTTGCTTCGGTACTTCACGGTGATGTGCTCTCTCTCTCTCTCTCTCTACATTCTACATCATCTTAGCTCTCATTGTCAAACATTTGATCCCCGCAACTGAGACGTACGAAGCTCAATTGCCTGTGTGTCAAACTAGCTAGCCACGAGCTACTTGTGCTGGATTGTTTCTCATCGGGTCGGATGACCCGAATATTTTATTAAGTTATTCCTAGCCTCCTGAATTCAACTCGAGCAAACCTTTGTTCTTGACTTCGTAAACATTTACGTGCTACAATAGTAACTGAAGCCATTAACTCACCTAATTGTGAAGACAAGGTACATAAGTCGTAAATGAGATACTGATGAATAATGTTCAGCGTTGCAGGTTCAACAGAGAGTCTTGAATGGAAAATAAGGTTTAAGGTTGCTGTAGGAGTGGCCGAAGGACTGAAATATCTCCACTACAGTTGTCAAAGGAGGATCATTCACAGAGACATCAAAGCCTCCAATATATTACTCACCGGAGACTATGAGCCTCAGGTACATTTTCCCCTTTTTCAGTTAGTACAAAGAGTCACAGCAATAGTAAGCAAGAATGAAGAACAAAAGGAAACCAAATTCTCTGTGGCAGATATCTGATTTCGGATTGGCAAAGTGGCTTCCTGAGAAGTGGGCTCAGCATGTTGTGTTCCCAATCGAGGGCACGTTCGGGTTAGGCATGCAGTTCCATGTAGTCATTTGTGATGATAATCGCTTATTTCCAATGCCTTTTCTTCTGTAATTTATATTTTTTACAGATATTTAGCCCCGGAATACTTCATGCACGGAATTGTAGATGAAAAGATTGATGTTTTTGCATTTGGAGTTCTGCTACTCGAGCTCATTACAGGTCGTCGTGCTGTTGACTCAACCCGCCAGAGCCTAGTTATGTGGGTAGGTCAATTTCCTCAAATTTTCTCAACCAAAATAGTCGTCAATTCGATTAGTCAAAGGAACGGTCATTTGTAAATTTTAATGAAGGTTTTCAACCTACTTCTCCTGAGTATTTTAGTTGCCGCCAATGTTCTGGAAGTTCTCTTTGGAATGTTGTCTCTTTTGTGCAGGCAAAGCCACTCCTCGACGTAAATAACATCAGAGAATTGGTGGATCCTCGGTTGAAAGATACTTATGATATTGTTGAAATGCAAAGAGCCACACTGACGGCTTCAATGTGCGTTCAATGCATATCCACCATGCGTCCAGATATGAAAAAGGTATGACAAATAAGCACAGGTTCTTGGTACCAAAAGTCATTGCTAGTGACCATCGCAGCACAAATGAAAAGCATCGCCATTAATGAATTTGCGCTCATTAATATCATCGCATTTAGTCCACAACAGCATGTTGTCTTGAAGTTAAGAGTCGGATACAGATGTCATGCTGGTTTTTCTGGGCTACAGGTTGTGCAGATGCTGAAGGGTGAGGATGGTGCCAAAGAGTGGAAGCAGAAATCAGTATCAGGAAGAGCACTTCTCTTGGATGCCTGTGACCTGGAAGACTATTCTTGCACTACCTATCTCAAGGATCTTAACCGGCACATGCAGCTTCTTATGGAGTAAATGTTCAGTGCATCAGCATTTCTCACAATTACTTAGTCATTGCCAAGAAGAATTCTTTGCATGTGCCATATGGAGGGGGAGAATTAGCAAGTTGGCTAATTGCTCAATTCCTTTAAAAATGTAAACACGAGCGCATCACCCTTTTTTTTTCCTAGGGAGTGAAAATATCAGAAAAGCATGTAAAATGGGTGCTATGATACAATCAATATGTAATCTCTTCCTCGTTGTCGTTACTTATGAGAAATATTAAAGATTCGAGCGATTATACTGATGGAAGTATCTTACACTTGCCATGTCTGTCAGATCAGAGAAGAGACACTTGAGCAATTATCATCTTTCAGTGATCATGCTCAAACCACATGGTTACCCCATTAAAATCTGGGACTAATACACGTGTTTACTTAATAGTTAGGTTCAAGTACAAATAGGTATATGCTGAGAGTTACATCATGAGGTGGTATTTGAGGCAATCTGGAGGCTTTCGGCTAGTCATCTGGATAAATCTATCCTTTTCCTAAAGACCAGATTAAATGGAATGGTCTACAAAATGCACAATGCAAAAGAATATTCTTTCTCTAGTTCCAAAACCATACAATTGACTTCTAAGGTAAAACATCACAACTCTATCTATGGTATAACCAAGTTTTTAGTTTGCAAGCAAGAGCTTACCATCAAAGGGTTTCTTCACAATCAGCTGTATCGTCTCCAAGAATTAGAGCGCTCCATTTTTCAAGGCTCCTTAAAAAGTACTATACAAGAAATCTTGCAGCACACAAGCCATCATCTGTCCAATTTTAGGCATTCAAACACCTTGAGCAGCAGAAGATCCGGGCAACTTTTCTAGGAAGGGAGTAATCAGCAAGCGAAGTTGGATCTGCCACTACATCATCCCGTTGTGTCCATATATATACCCCACGCTCTTGCCGATTGCCTGGAACTGTGGTGTCCAACACTATCGCCACCAATAGAGTCACGACCATATTCAACGACATGAGCGCATTTATTGTGAAATCAAGCTGGAGGCATTCACATCAGACGCTATATGTTAGTTTTGCTTTACAACTGGAAAGTGTTAAGCTCACAAAGCACTTCCAGCAGTATAGTGTAAAGTCTTCAAAAATCAGAGACGGGATAGTCATCATGGTACATTCAGAATCTCAAAGAAGAATACCACATTAAACAGTTCATTAAAAAAGTTATGGTATTTCAATTCATCCTACATCATGAAAAAAGTGAATCTATTAGGAGTTCATAGAAGCATTATAACATAAGTCAGTTGTATTCGGTATTCAAAATTGCTGACGTATGACTTCAATGTTGTCCCCTAAGTCTTGAAATGACTCTATTCAAACTAGAGATTAATAGATCAAGCATTCTGCAGATGGCAGAGACCACCCTGCCCAAAAGATTTGAATTTAAGTCCAAGGAACCCTCGTCCAAACCTAATCTAGAAAGAGAGTCAAAAGAGGAAAAAAGAACCAAAAAAAAAAAATGGGATCAAAAGGAGTAAGAGTAACTTACTTGAGAACTGCCACTGTGGACCGGACCATCTGATGCTGCAGCATAAGGTATTAAGTAACCAGGCAACATCAAGCTCGAATTCGGTTGGTATTGTTGAAAATAAGCGGGTATAGACAAACCAAGAAATAGTGAGACACCAACTATTATCATGTTTCTAAAGCTTGATGTCTGAGTATATTGCAACGTGGAGAGGCCCAGCGCCACGATAAGCGCCCATATGAAGCACAGTATAGAAGCAGCCAGGGCTTGAGGTATAGAAGCAAGGATTGCACCCACCTTTCCTGAAAGTGCATAAGCAGTGAGTGAAGTGAGAGTATGAAACATTAGGACAAGATGTAGAAATGTATATGTCCAACTACTTTCAGATGCTGAGTGATTTATCTATAAAGTCCATTATTAAAGATGAAAGCCCTAATTGAAAGAAACGAAGATACTTAAAGCCAGCTTAAGTTTTACCCTGGCTGACTTAACTAAATACTTTCTTTCAAAGGTTCTCTTTTTCTTCCCTGTTTATTTCTAATTAGAGTCATCAAGCATTATGCGAATGAGGAACAATAATAAAGTGCATGAGAATATAGATACAATACGGGCTGCTATAAGAGCATGTGAAAGGGTGCTATACCTATAAATGAGAAGAAAATCAGGAAAACGGCACCAACTTCTACCACCCTCCGATTGGCCACCTTTGTGATTCTTATTGTATGAAGGTTCTCGGTCAATGTTGTCGACCCAGTAGCGGAACCCCAAAGTCCTGCCAGTAGACTGCAGAAACCCTCCAGTGCGATTCCTCTGCTAACAATTCCAGGACTGGGAGGCTTCAAATTGACTAACGCTGATGCAGAGTGATATGTTCCAATCTTGCAAGAGGATGCAACATTGACAATAGCTTCAAAATTTAAACCCGCAGTTCTCTTATGTTTATGTTATTCCACCATCGAGTGGCTTTTGGCTATCTACTTTGTTTCTCTTTATACTATCTACTCTATCATCTGTGTCTCATCTGGCATCACAAAGCACCTAAAAACACTGGTAAAATACAAATAGCAGAAAAGCTGAGAACTCATTTTGATGTATATTCTGAAATTTTCCTCAAATATTGCCTAATAGGAATTAAAGTAAAGACATAAAAAGAGAGCTCAGTAGTTGTCCTAAAGTTTCAAAATGTGAAGAAGAGAAGATACCAATTTGAGAATTATCTCCACGAATTGATTTCAAGTCATTTTCTGATACATCACTTAGAAAAGTTCTCATGCTTGGTTTTTCACAAATTAGGACGAAAAAAATAGGCAGACAATTGAAGTAAAGGAACAGTTATGAAAAATAATGTCCTAGGAAACAGTTTGCCAAGTTATATCCCCTGTTATTTGTTTTAAGATTTTCTAAGATGGCTTATAACCAGACCTCTCCAGCAAATTCTCTTCAACTCCGTTCCATTTCCTGAATGCATTGCATTATTAACTGTACAAGGTACTGACTACTGACCGAATCCACAGATGCGACCAATGACACAACGATCATGATCATGGAAGTCCTTAAATGGAATATAGGTATACCCCACTGCATAGGGTATGGAATTCTGACCCAAGCAGCAGTTCTCATTGCATTTGAGACATCGGTTCTACAATGCTTCATACTGTACGCATGCTTTCTGCACGAATCAACCAATATGTTCGAACTGGGTATCTCGGGACTGCAGCCTTTGTAATCATATGCCCCACCGGCTGTCAAGAAGAATGCATATGCCCATATAATCATCACGCTGAATGGAACCTGCAGTTACTTAGAGATGTCATGTAACCGAGCTCAATCCTGTATAGTAACAGTGTTGTGCTCAAAATACTTTAAAATTGCCTTGCCAATTACAAGAAACGCTTGAGCAAGCTACTAATCAGATTTTCATGTGGTTGGTAAACCTAATTAAGGGTACTTTTCAGGGGAAGCATGGGCTGTACGATTCTAAGCACTTCAAAACAAAAGGGTTGGAATCTGCAAAACTTGAACATATAAATTGATGTCTTCAAAATTCCAAGTTCACAAGGGAAAAAAATCTATGCCTGGAACAACGGTTTGGAAGATGAATCTTAACACTTTAACAACTATTCAAGACTGTACATGCCATTCGATCAAAAAAGAAAAAAATAGAAAAGACTGTACATACCGCATATATTCGGAACAATCTATGCCCAAAGATGGAGATCCCTCGAAGATACTGGAAAAAAAAAAAAAGCGATGTTACTACACGTGATAAATTACTATGTTTGCCTGAACAGAATAAAAACAGAAAATGACTTTAAAAAAGACAATCAATTAAAGAGACTCATTGATAGAGATATAAGAGTGCAAGCAAGAGAAGCCTCTTACCAATGAGAATATAAGAACCAATAGTATCAGCGGAGCGCTGATCTCCACACAGCTACCAGCCTGAGGAAAACCATAGCTGAAAAATGCTAAACCAACTGCAGCAACAGTTGGTGCAACCACCACAGGGTTTATCAGCCTGCAAAAGCAGAATCATATTACCTGAAAGCTCAAAAAATTTAGCTTTGATCCATAAAATTCTAAATGAAATTGAAAGAAAATTGTAGACACTGTGTTAGGTTTTAGATCATAAAAGAGTTTCCTAAAAAAAATTACATTAAGAACTGTCTTTTAATCAGTATGCCACAGTGCATCATTTGTAGATACAAAATTAGCTCTACAAGTGTAACCAAATACATGCAGGAACACTCATCTATAAAATCCGAATTACCTGATTAATAGAGACATTAAACCCGTAAGCCCTAGAAAGCTTTGGAAAATTGAACCAACGATTATAGCCCCTTGCAATTCCCTCATTATATGCCTAAACCTCTGCACTTAATTGGACAGTACAAGTTAGCATAATTGCAAGAATTTCCACAGAAAACAAGAAAAAGACTGCCTGGGTTGCATGTTCAACATTTCAGTCGAGAGTAGACAGTAGATCTCCTTTTTTTTAACCTAAAAAAGTACCACTAGATATAAAAGACGATATCGAAACAACAAAAGAGACCGAGACAAGGTGACACATTTGTTGTTCTTCCTGCATATTCCATCAAGCTGATTCCTTGCATGCTCATTGCGATCATTTTTCCCTAAACGCATGGAAGAAATGGTAGGGAATGAATCTGTATGACAGTATGAATCCATCAATATAAGAAAATTACATGTTCAGTGAGATTGCGATATTCCCGTGAATTCATTATTACTAAAGCTGGCGCCAAAAATACGAATGAGCTCCCTTGAACTAATGGAAGACGGGTACCAAAGTAAGAGTTCAGCAGCGTAGTAATGCCAGACACCAATAGCATTGTGGAAATTACAGTCGCAGTATCCTTCTGTAGTAAAAAATGTTGAAGATGTGTCAACAAAATATCAAAGCAACATTGAGAAAACATCAAATTTCTCTCTCCAAAACTCAGCTTACATCGGATCCTCCCATGTTTGGGACCATGATCAAGGGGATGAATATAAGTGAACCAGCCAGTGACAAATAGTGCTGCAAACTGTAGTAAATAATTGGTACTGCAACCCATGGATATGAAGAGGAGTCAGAATAGTACAAACTTTGACACTCAATGAGAATTCCACGTCCGATAACTTCATCGTTTCGAACAAATTAGTCAAGCATGACGCATAAGACGATTCTACCTTCTTCCAACAAATATGTGGTAATTGGACAATATGCATGTGTTGCTGAAGTTTCACAGAATTCTCCTTTCCCTAGTTGGCCTTAATATGGTCCAGTGGTTGGAAAGATTAAAAGAAAGAAAAAAATTACAAGAACTAACATTATCGTAAAGAGAAACTATTGCAACTAAGCATGTGTTTATTTCGCTTGAGTCATGCAAACATCCATGAAAAGCAAAAGCATCGAGATCACGTTTGGAGAAATGTAAGCATCACGCAGTTAGCAACTAATGCCCCTTCTAATTATAACAAGATAATCTTATCCGCCCTTGTATACGGGTCACGAAATGCAGCCTAAGTGCTCACTAGACACTGCCACACAACTAAGACAAGCCAAATTTAAAACTTAAGTAATCAAAATTTTAATGATCAGAGCATCGACAAAGACTTCTAAAAGAAACGGAAAGCTTACTGACCGAAGCCCGGATTATCTCTTAAACCCAACATCATTTCTGGCGACCTGCTCCACCACCCATTCTCCGGCTCTTCGCCGTCCGGATAGACATCGATCCCCACATCTCCTTCTTCCTTTCTATCATCTTTATCCGTCTCCGTGCCCGGAACAACCGCCCCAGCTCCACGCCCATTCCCATTGTTAGGATTCGAATTCTCATTCCTATCATTACCTCCCCCGAGATTCCCATTTCCATTCACACCGACTTTCCTCCCATCCTCCTTGTCCCTCAAACTCGCCTCATCCGCCACCCTCACCTTCTGATTCTCGACCCTCAATTGCCCATTTCTAGCCCCCAAGGCGCCGCCGTTTCCCTCTCTGCTCGCTCCATTCCCAGCAACCGAAGCGGGTTCGATTTCGGCTTCCCTGTTCGGTCTAGTCCTGCCGAGAACCGGATCGATCTCTATCTTCGGCGAAGAAGACCCTCCACCTCTCCCGTCAGCATCCCGCTCCAGATCAAACCCGCCGCTACCGAACTTCTCCCTCGAGCTGACATTAGTTTCTCCGGAGAAGGTCGAGACGAACCCGGTTCGTTTAGCCCAAGATCTCAGCTCTCTGGGGTTGTGGTGGTCGGTTCTCGGAACGAAAGGATCGATCTTGGCGAACATGGAGCCCAGTCTCTTGCCACCCACCTTCGCTTCCGCCTTGCCGGCATTTTTGGAGCTCGACCCAGCTTCCATTTCGGCTCTCTCGCAAATGGGTCGTCGTCAGTGAGGCTTGTTTCTCTGTCTTGACTTCAAGACAATAGAGAGGACGCGTGTGAAAACTGGAAACTGCAGCAAGCAGGACTGAGAGCAACGACAGGAGAGTAAGAGCGAAGCAAAGTGGGAAATTGGTATCATTTGGATTTGGAAGACCGGATGATGATGATGGGTACACGACAATGTTGCTGCCGCTTCGTCATCTGAGGATGGCGAGCTGCGGGAGTGAGAGAGAGAGAGAGAGAGAGAGAGAGAGAGAGTGTGACTGGAAGAAGGGGAGGGAGGAAGAGAGAGATTTTGCAGCGTCTTGTGGGGGCAGCGTCCTTTCAACTTCATTAGTCAATTTTTGCGGGTCGCAAATCAACGTCAAGTATGGTGCTCGGTTGCGAACGGTGGAGGATCCGTGAAATTACAGCAGTGCCCTGTTTTCGCCCGTTGGGAAGTTCGCAAAAGTGTTCGCGGGTTTTGCTTTGCGAGGAAGCAGGAAAAAGTTTCTAAGAGATATGACCGATATATTTTAAATTACAAAAAAATTAAATTATGTCAATTATGATATATTTATTTTGAATTTTTTTATATTAAAATTTATAAATTATGACCACTTTGATATATTTAGCCTAAACTTTTTCTTGTGGCACATATACCCAAACTTGTATTTATGCGACACATTTACCCTCCCTCCGTCAAGGTTTTGTAACAATATCGTTTTGATTCAACACTGTTTGATTTCTGGTGTTTATATAGGCAGCTTTTCAATGGTTTTCATTAGCAGAACTTTAATGGAGAGTGAATGTATTATACAGGTACAAGTTTGGGACTTTTGGTATCACCGAAAAAATTTTTAGAGTAAATTTATCACGATAGTATAGTTTAGGATTTTTGGTAGCTTTTGCCTTTACGAAAATAAAATAACAAGACCACTGACAGGATATTCTTGTCATTGAATCAATAAAGATCTTTTTATTATTCCAACTATTAATTATGCTTGCAATTGTTTAGGAGAATTTTTTTTTCATCATCAGCGTAAGAAATTACCTATGCATTCATTATTGGATGAATGACATGTATTTTGAATTGGTTTTGCAACCAAATTGTTCCACTATGTAAATCTTTTCTTATAGGGAAAATACCACAAAAAACCCCAAACTATGCCACTTGTGATAAATTTATCCTGAATTTTTTTTTGTGACACGAAAAACCCTAAACTATGACATTTGTGATAAATTTACCCTTAACTTTTTTTTGTGATACGAAAAATCCCAAACTATGCCACTTGTGACACATTTACTCCATAATAATTTGGCCATAGGCATTTTCGTCTTTTTCCTTTTTTTCTTTTCTTCTCTCTTCCCTCTTAGTGGCCGGCGGAGAAGCCGGCTTTTTGCCTTTGCGGATTCGGCAAGAGCGACCCTTGCCGGCATTGGCGAGGGTTGCCCTTGCCAGATCCAGCGAGGGCAGCCCTTGCCAGATCCAGCGAGGGCAGCCCTCGCCTGAGTTGGGCGAAGTCATCCGTGCCAGATTCGGCGAGGGCCGCCCTCGCCCAACGCCGGATCTAGCCAGGGCAACCCTCGTCCGCCCAGGCGAGGGCAACCCTCGTCTACCCAGGCGAGGGCGACCTTCGCCCGACACCGGCGAGGGCAACCATCGCCGGCTTCACTCCGCTGTGGCCGACGGAGGGAAGAGAGAAAAAAAGGAAAAAAACAGAAAAAGGAAAAGACGAAAATGCCCATGGGCCAAAGTATTGTGGGGTAAATATGTCTTAAGTGACATAGTTTGGAGTTTTTCATATCACAAAAAAAAGTTCAGGGTAAATTTGTCACAAGTAGCATAGTTTGAGATTTTTCGTGTCACAAAAAAAGTTCAGGGTAAATTTATCATAAGTGACATATTTTTTAGTTTTTTGTGGTATTTTCCCTTTCTTATATTGGCAATGGCCTAATAAAAATCATTTCTTTGTTATGCTGAATAAAGGGGGAAAAACCGACGGCCGAATAATAATACCAACCAAAAAAAAACAAGAATAATAGGAGAAATGACGATCGATCGACGATGACCCGACGTCGGTTCGACAATTAGTGAAGTGGAGTGTCATTATTGGTGTTAATTTATTTATTTTTTATATTTTGCCTTTCTGGCGATAAGGTGGAGCGTTTTGCAAAGGATGTTTTAGAGACAACAACTTTCTCTAGATGAAAGTTTAATTTTGGGAATCCGAAGATGCGCTTCTTCTCATTGACCTGACCATAAGCATATTCTGATTTAATAGTTTAATATCAAAACTTTACGATACTCATAACAATATCAGTGCTATGGCCAAAAATAAAATAATAATCAAGAGATTAGTGCCCAGAAAAACTTATTTTCGTTTTGAAATAAGTACACCAAAAGTCGTAAAACTTATCACGAAAGTATAATCGAATCTTAAAATTATCAAAAAGTGCAATCGACGGAAAGATTCGATTGGACAAATTTAACAAGTTTTATGACTTGACCGCACTTTTTAAAAATTTTAGGACTCAATTGCATTTTCATGACAAATTTTGTAAATTAATTGTACTTTTTGAAAGTTTTAAGACTCAATTACTTTTTCGTGACAAATTTTAAGATTTTCAATACACTTATCTCTTTTGATTTTCTTTCAAAATACCTGTATTGTGCACTTGAACATAGTCCTCTCGAGCCAGTGTAAATCCACGAATTGCGACTGCTGCGCTGCCATGAATTGGCCGCAATCACGATCAAGATTGGGTCCACGGGAGTTGATCACATAAACAAATCAGAAAGCAAGGAAAGATCCCATCACGTTCAATTTCTGGACTGTTTTGCCTTTGAGAAGACTCTTAAACCACTTTTGGAATGGCATCAAGACATGGAGATTATCTCACAAATTATGAACTCGAAAGACTTCTGGATAAAGGGAACAAACACACTCAACTATTACCCTCTTTTCCCATTTCAAATCCTCCATGATCTCGATTCAAGCCCAAGAAAGCAACATTGGGTCACTTTCTATTGGTTCTGTATCTTTTCCCATTGCCGCATCTGCCAATCTTCTTCCAAAATTCTCATCTTCTTTGCCTTTTTTCGGTGGAGAAAGTGACACAGGATCTGCCCTTTTCCAGTTAATTTGAGAGTGCGCTCCAGGTGCACTTGCAACCAACGCGAGGAAAAGGCGAATTCATCCACCGAACCATTCAAAAGAACTTCGAGCTGAAGCAAACCAAAAGGGCATTGCAACTGTGTGATGCTGAGGTAGGTTCTAGCAGGACCCGTCTTGAATACAAAATGGAAGGCCTAGGCTCGGAAAACGGGCCGAGGTGGGTCGACTAGCTACTGGTCGGGTCTATGTACTCCGGCCGGAGACTGTTGGGCTAAAACAAGTTTGGCCTCGAGGTTGAGAGCGCGATCGGAGAGGAGGCACAATGCCTCACCTTGATTACCATACCATCAGGTGTGTAGTCAATCTTGTATGCAACCTATATTGTTGAACGTGGGAGAGATTGTGGTCCTCCAGGGCCACACAACATGTGATGCAGTAGTCACCCTCGATGCCTATGGGACTAGGGGTGAGCGGTTCCGGTTCCGATAGATTTCGCCTCTTAAACTTCTCAAAAATGAAGGAACCTAGAACTTACCCGTCGGAACGTGGAACCTAGAACCTACCCTGTCACAGGTTCCAGGGTCGGTTCCAGGTTCCAACAGGTTCTTTTTTTTTTTAATTTCGGTTCCAGGTTACAATTCCATTCCATACAATACAATCAAACACCCCCCTCGAAAAAAAGAAGAAGAAAAAAACCTATCATTCACAATAAAGGTGCATCGCCAAATCATCCCCAGATGATTCACTATGATCAAAGCAAGAAGAAAGCCGAAACCTTGTATAATATCTCCAGTCACACGCTCACGCAAAATAAAGAAGTGCCAACGGATTAATAGAGAACATGATAATGTTGATTAGATTAAACATCGAGAATTAGATGACAGTGAGATTCAATGATTAGTTTGTGCTTCCGCGCGATACTATTATACATCAGGATTGTTAAATGCTTGGAAATGCACAACATCAGCTGAGCTCATATGATACTTCAAAGAAAATATCAACACACACTTCAGTAGGAAATTGGTCTTAAATCTATAAAAAGCTTTTTATGATATAATCATGCACTATTTCAAAAAACAAAACATGTCGCGCAGTTTCTGTTGACACCTAAATTTTGGAGACCCAATTAGTCATTCATTGCATAAAAATTAGGGATCGATCTCGGTCCCTAGAAAAAAAATTTATTAGTTAAACTGCATATAGATTTTAGGAGCATTTATAGTAATAGGCTCACATAGTTGCATTTGCATTAAATCAATGGCGAATGGACTTAGTTAAAAGCCCACGAATAAAAATTTTCGCCAAACTCGTTCATTATCATGGGTGGAATTTTCGCACGTGGGATATGAAGAATTTTCGGAATATATGCATGATTCTCGGTCAATATATTTTTGGTTGGGCACTTGTGCAGAAATATCTTTCATGATTTCCTGAAGATGTCCACGATTTCATAGACTTTGTTTTTCGGATATTTGTGGAAATATGCAAGATTTTGTCGGTCAATGGAAAATAGTAACAGCAACTGGGAAAGGAATATTCATGTGAGGACGTATATTATTTGAGCAATATATCTTTCTCAAAACAAGAAAGAGTATGCTGCCAAGAAGACCTCCCCGTGCCCATGATCAGAAGGAAGATATAACTCTAAGGGAGGAAAGGAATAAAATATACGTTCTGCATAAGGAAAGTTGACCACGTCCTTTCCCGAAAAATCTAGGTTGTCTTGCATATAAAAGGGGGAGGAGAATTCACAACAAGGGGGGCTTCTTTTTTGGGTCTGATCACACACAAGAAACACATAAAGAAGAGAGCAAGAAAAGAGAGAGGATCGGCAAGAGTGAGGAAAAGACGTGAGAGAGAGAGAGCACACGCAAAAGAGAAGGGCATGTTCGCAAGAAGAAAGACCCACGCTTGAATTCACGATTATTTTCTTCACGATTCTTGCTCATCAAATTTGCAGGTCCACGCTCTCAAGTCGTTCCTACAGGTTTTCCACCAAGACCTGCAGAGAAGAAGACAAAAAGGAAGAAGACGGCAAAGATTTCAACACAAGCCTTTTTTTATTCGCGCTCCATCACGCGTTGCTCCCCTTGCCGCATAATCACCTACAGCAAGCTAGCTCCTCTCCGGCGTAGGATCGAATTCTTGGCTGCAATTTCCGGGCCACACCGGTGAACGCAAGAAGGTTCCAGCGACGTCCCATCAACGAGAGCCGCCTCTGGTCACCACCAAGCTGCACTCCTCCGCCAAACCGCGAGCAACCGCGAGGCACACTTGCTAGGCCGAGCGCGACCATTGCCTTAACGGAGAAGTCCAGTCCTGACGTTTAGGCCATCCTTTGCCACGAGCACGTCGTCGGTCACCATCGAGTTCCACCGTGAGCAACACCACCGTCACCGGGTCCAGCCGCGTCATTCGTGATCCGCGAGCCACCATCCACCGGTCCTGTTTCGGAATCGAATCATCCTAACTAGGTCATTTTCTCGAGCCAAATTTGGTCTCCATATTTCATTTATCTAAATTGAGTTATTTGATGCTAATGTGATTTTGAGTGATCAAAGCATTATCTAACTAGGATTTTATTGCCTCGCTTAATTTAAAAACTGCGATTTAATTGAATATTCTTTGGAAATCTTGGATGTGTATTACTTGTCAAATTTGGATAGAATTTGAAAATTTCAAAATCTTTTGAATATATCCAAGATATTCAAGATAGCAAAATTTTTTCAAGATGTGATTGGTTAGGAAAATCTCCTAATCCGCAACTGCACACATGGGAATAAGTCTATCTATCAGTTGTAGATAGAGTTATTTCCATAAGCGAGATATTCGAATTTTTAGGGTCGATCTGTCGGGCTTGGATCGAAGCTTAATTCGAAAGATTTAGCGGTTATAATCTTTCTACTAAAAGATTTGCGACTTGAATTTAAATTTGAAAATGCATCAAAAATACAAAAAAATTCATAAAAAGAAAATCAAAAAAAAATTTGCACTTTTGAATTCTAAATCAGAATTCATCAAAATTGCCGAATTGAGCATTTTTCTTGAGATTGGTAGACGTTAGGGTAATCTAGCGTAACCAAGTCCCCAGATTTATAATCTCTGGTTCTTAGAAATAAAATAGTACTCCCGCTATTTTATTGAAGTTTCTAATCAACCTACCTTAAATGATTAGTGGCGGCTCCCATTGAAAATATTTGCATTCTCATAATTGGACCTAAGTTGCGAATTGGTAGAGTTTGGGAGAACTCGAGCTAGGTTAGTTAATTTAATTGATCTAGTAATCCATTAGCCTAAGATTGGAAAACCTGATTTTTAGGTCGCGACAGTTTCAAAGTTAGTGTTAAGAGGATAAACCTATAACAGCATCATTCCTATGAGAGGAGAAAAAAGACAGAAACACAAGGAACTTTGAAACTTACAGGCGGCACTCCACACTTGTGCCATGGTTGCAGAAAGGGCAGCTGAAGACTATATCAAGTCTGTCCATCCTCTTCTTAGGAGGTGGCTTTGCCCGAGACTTTCTCTTCCCCATAGCTCTAGTTCCTTCGCTTTTAGTCTGCAATCAATCAAACATGATAAATCCACAAATCCCAAATGTAATGCTCATACAAGCCTAACCACGGCACCCGTGCATTCAATCTATACGATTCGAGTCAATAATACGGGAGCGAATTACTTATCACACAAAAGTTTAAAATTTGTAATCCAGAATAAAAAAGGGCATTCAAAAGTCAATTTAAGCAAAGAAAAATAAAATTAGAAACGGAGAAGCCCCGGAAAGAGTAATCTCCACCTGATAATAAAAACCCAATTGAGAACTCTTACTATTGTGATGAATGGAAAACATGCCTCATGTTAAATTCTTTCTGATTCTACTCTAGTTTCTCAGGAAAGATAAGGAAATCGATGCACTACGCGAAAACATTAAAAACCCCTTTTTTATTCAGTTTCACTCATCAAAAAGATCACGGGATCAAGAGACAAAAGTCTTCCTCTATCATGCCATTATAAGAGTCAGACTACCCTTCCACGAAAAGCCTCAAACAATTCAATCTAATCTCTCTATCGATCCAAAATCGCGAAAGAACAATTCTTTCCCCTGATTCTTCCATACCCGCTCGGTCCCAATCAAAAACGCGAGAAAGACAACGATTCCAATGAATTTCGCAATCGGTGCAGTTTTTCACAAGAAATCGAAAGACAAAGACGACCCGGAAGACGAAACCTCCCTATTCGATCGTGAACACCGAACTACGCGCAATCTACGAAGAGATTAGCAATGCATCAACGAACAAAGCCCAATCGAGTCATTCAAGAATCAAAAGGAGAGCGCGCAATCTACGAAGAGATTAGCAATGCATCAACGAACAAAGCCCAATCGAGTCATTCAAGAATCAAAAGGAGAGCAAGAATATGTACCGAGATCGATGAACAATGCTGCGGTTCTTGAAACAAGAGCACAAACCCTAGGCCCCGAGAGAAAATTTGAGAGAATTGGGAAGGCAATGAGGCAGCGCGGTCGGTATTTATAAGGTAGGGCCGATATTTAATCTAATCGGAGCGACGGAGCTTCAGAGGAGGAAGACGGCGGCGAGCTCGAATAATCGGAGCGAATCCGTGTGGGGAGGTCACAGGACCTGCGGTGAAGAAGGTGGAGCGAGGCGGAAGTGGGAGAGAAGCCGTGGAGCGGAAGCGGGAGCAAGGGTGAGGCGGAAGCGGAAGTGGGAGCAAGGAGCGAGGCGCGAAGCGGAAGTGGGAGGGAGCTTTGAAGGATCGGGTGTGATTCAGGAGGAGAATGGAGCATTTGGGAATTAGGGTTTCTAATAATAAGTTTATGTTTTTGGTTTTGGATCCAGTTCCGGGTTCCATAAGTTCCGGCTCTAAAAAATGGGGAACCTGGAACGCTTTGTCCATGGAACCTGGAACCGAACCTAGTCACCCTCGGTGCCACCCCTATATGGGACTCATCAACGACGGCAACCTTCGAACATTGAGGGCCAACGGACTAGGGCAACCTTGACTTCCATACTTCTCCACCGATGATCCATCAATTGATGGCGACAGGAATGCCCATTAGTGTTTACTCTATTTACCAGCCTTTATTTACATCCCTGACAAAGCTGGCCTTTCTTTAGTGATGTTACATAGCATCACCGAATGCTTAACATTCAATGCCGAATCAAATTGATTAGGTGATACATACTACTAAAATGCACGATGTAACTGTAGCACTGACCAAAATTAAAACCCCTATAATACTAAATTTAAAGCATTCCCTTCATCATTCACGGAAAGTTGAATAGAAGGACCTAATTTGCTCGCCCTTCTTGAAATTGTGTAGGTCGAAGTGATGCCTTTGGAAGTGTTGGGGTTTAAAATGTAACATTTTTGTAAACAACAAATACCAACACAACAGGGTAATCATGCTGAGGGCAAAAAGAACCAAAATCCACGGTTGCATCCACAGATACACTAAAGTCACGCTATGTAGAACAACAAAATGTAGATACAGCAGCAGCCACCTCCCAATTCCTTTCAGAAAGAAAGTTCCAAGAAACTAATTAGGCTTCCGGTTTCAGCAGAGTAGAATCAGGCGAAGCATGGTGCAACCTCTGAGTTATGACATTTCAATAGCCTCATGTCCTATATCTAATTCATCACAAAGCAACCATCCAAAAAGATGAAACTGTGTTTAAAGCACTAGGATTAAACAATAAAACTACCGCATTCCACCTTTTCCCGATTATTTTTATCTTTGCTCGAGCACCTTCACAACACATGCCAATGCAAGCCGTCTTATCCAACCGAAAGCAGCTGATTGAGAAGTTAGCTTTCCACATATAGTTCTACTTTATGAAAAATGTGGCTCCTTTGGGAAGGGCAACAAAATAAGCATGTAAAGTGAGGCCATCAGTAACCTCAAAGTTACTCCTATGATGTCCTGCCAAGTTTCCTCATAGGTTCTCGATTAATAGCTATTGCTACATAAAGCATGAATCAAGCACGTGAAAGCATATCCAAGGATCAAGGAAGCCGGCTGCTTCACAAGATTCGATGGCTGGAAAAACAGAAAGAATTATACCAGAGGTTGTGCCGTGACTGAAAAATATAGATCAGTCTGCTATGGATAATGGGCATTACAATAATGGGATGGGTGTGTAAATCAAAACACTAAAATAAGAAGAGACATTTTCACTTGGGAGATCCATACGACCACAAAGTTTTGTCAATTGGTAATTAATGATCTATGCAGTTTGCAATAGATAGGCTAAGCTAAAACAGTACATGCTAATGAAATTTAAGGAAATTAAGGGGAGCATCCAAGCAAGCTTCACAGTAGGAGTGGATCTTCTGGAATACAGGAACAGCAGTTCATATACTTTGATAGGAGCCGCCATTCATATGCCTTGGCGGCATAATGACAGACCTAAATAATAACATCTTCTGTTAAAAACAAGAAATTACAAGATAGATCGATACTCAGACAGCCGGTGCTGGTGCAGTTACCTCTCCAAGACACTGGAACATTGCTTTCCTCGTCATTCAATTATTTCAAGACAGATCCTAGGGTAACAAGCAGAAAAATAGTGCTTGTATTTTGTAAACTTCTTTTGCGCTGCTCCAAAAACAGAATGCATTAGAAACTAGCTCATAGCTGTTGTTATCATCATCATGAGAAGCACAAAGACTGCTGCTTTTTCCACCTACGATCATGAAATGTCTCTTCCTAAATGAGAAGAACCTAAGCATGCCACAGAAGAGCATGGCTTATTGCCAACCGATCCTCCTATTGATCTTTCTCATTAAGCACAAAGACTGCTGCTTTTTCCCCCTACGATCATGAAATACATTTTCCTTGACTGATAAGAACCAAAGCTTACCACTAAAGGGCATGGTCCATCACCCACTGATCTTCTTATTGATCTTTCTCGAACAAGGACACCATCTCATTGCAATTGCAATGAGCCCGAAAACAACAACTCCGGATCTAATCATCATATCCCGAATCTCAACCCCACTGAGTTATTCATTTGGCAACACATTTCATCAAGTAGGTGGATCACCCAGATAAAAACACACCATCTGAACTTCCACTGATCCGAACAACAAGAAAGTGTTGATCAACAATTCTCTGCCCAAGATCTAAATTTAGAGACCCATCATCAAACAACCAAAAGCGATCTCAATTCAGTTGAAACAGATGGAGCATTAGCGCTCCTACACTAGTTTATGTTAATGTATGCTCTCTTGTCAAGCATAACGAAAACACACAAAAAAAAGAAGAAGAAAGAGAGAAACCTCCAAAAGACAGAGAAGCTAAAAAAAGAAAGAAAGTAGATCGAACTATACAGAGAGGTATTAAAACAAAAGTTGAAATCACCATGGCGAGGGGGCGCTCCTAGCTGCGCGGCGATGGCACGAGGAGGCGCTCGACGCGATCGCGTTGCTCGCTGAACCGTCGGGCGAGGTAGGTCTCGAGGATCTCCATGACGGAGACGAAGCGCTTCATCTCCTCCAGCCGCCGGCTGAGCTCGGCTTCGCGGGCCCTGGCCCGGGCCAGGCGGGCCTCCGTCTCGGCGAGGCGACTCCGCAGGTCCTCCGCCGCCGCCGCCGCGGCGTCTGCGTTCTGGGGGACCGCGGCGCGCGCGGGGGCGGCGAAATGGTCCTCGGAGAAGGATGTCCGGTGGTGGTGGCCGTAGCACATGGCGGCAGCGGAGCTTCACGAGGCGGAGGCGGCGGCGGAGGCGGCGGCGGCGGAGGCGGAGGCGGCGACGGAGGCGGTTGCGGTTGCCGTCGCGGTCGCGGTGTCTCTGGAGATGGAGAACGGTGGTGGTGAGAATCGATGAACCGGAGCGTCGCGTGGCGACATCATTGATGAACAGCGACAGGCATTTCTTTAATTGCGTTAGCAATCAATTAGAAAAAGGAAAATGACGCAAATAGTCCTGAATTTTGGCTTAATGTATAATTTGATCCCTAAACTTTTAATTTGTTCAATATAGTCCCTGAATTTTAACTCAGTGTGCAATATGATCCCTGAACTTTTAATTTGTTCAATATCATCCTTGAACTTTTGGTACATGTTTAATTCAGTCCCTGAATTATATGAAAATGTTCAATGCAATCCCTTAACTTGAATTGAATATGTACCAAAAAGGCTACATTGAATATTTTCATATAGTTCAGGGATTAAATTGAATATGTACCAAAAGTTCAGGGATGACATTGAACAAATTAAAAGTTTAAGGACCATATTGAATATTCGCCTAAAGTTCAGGGATTACATTGAATAAATTAAAACTTTGTGGACTAAATTATACATTGGGTCAAAGTTCATGGACTATTTGTGTCATTGTTCCTTAAAAAAATGTTGACTTTTCTTTTCCTATTTTGGAAGGTTAATAAAAAAATATACGTATTTTATTTTTTGATAATCTAAATCTTATATTGCATGCACTTATTTTGTTTCAATAGCATATATCCAAAATGTTTCACAACCTAAAACTATTGATGCAAATTCTCGCATGTAGTCTTTTGGGATAACAACACAGATGATTCATGAACTTTTGTTTTCAATATGCAATACGACCCATGAACTTTTAATTTGTTTGATGTGGTATATGAATTTTGGCACAACGTGCAATATTTTTCTTAAACTTCTAATTCGTTCAATATGATTCATAGACTTTTGGTATATAAACAAGTTAATATATGGATCATATGAAAATATTCAATGTTATCATTCCATTAATTTAGGTTCAGGGGCAACAAAACATGTATCAAAAGTTCAGGGAACGTATTAAATAAGTTGAAAGTTCAAGGATGACATTGCACATTAGACTAAAGTTCAGAGATCATATTGCACATTAGGTCAAAGTTTATGGATCATTTATGTTATTTTCCCTAATTTTTTTTATAGATAATATCTTAATATCGATAAAAAGAAAGAAGTACTTAAACAAATATCCCACAATGTCGAATAATCAAACAAATAATATTTATTGTGGGGATATAATATTTTTTATCTTATAGTACATGAATAGTAATTTAGAAAATCTAATTTCTAGATTATAAATATATACGATAAGTGTCTCGAAAATTCATAAGCAAACTTTTTATTACTAACAAAAATGATACTTTTGATGGCTAAACTGATACTTTTTCACATAAAAAATGATGAAAATAGCGTTGTCTTAAACTTTGCGTTTAGAGAAAATCTATTACAAAGATATAATCGATTATTAAAAAGTACAATCGAGTCACAAAATTACAATGCAATGAGCAATTTAAGGTCGTCATGTAAGTAACCTTCGAGTGTCGGTAGGCATTGTTCGTGCTATTTACCGGAAGAAATGCAGAAATTAGAACCTTAAAATAGACTTTGTTTCATTTCATCAGAGGATTTCTGCCGACAAGGATTTGGCCGAGAAGAACGTTCGAGAAAATTCAGGTTTGGGTATAAAAACCGCGCCGCTAAAACCCCCACCGCCCGCCCGCTCCCGCCGCCGGCGACAAAGCACCGCCGAGGATGGCGGACTCCGACCCCGCTCCGGCCTCCGTGCTCTCCCAGAGCCACCGCTCCCGCCTCCCCGACGACACCGTCTTCTACTCCATCTTCCCCGACTCCGCCCTCTCCTCCGCCTCCGCCGCCGCCGCCGCCGACGGTCTCCAATCCCTCCGCCTCCGAATCCTCGCCTCCATCTCCCCCTTCGCCTCCTCCTACCTCTGGCAGCACCAGCCCTTCTCCCTCTCCCTCTCCTCCACCTCCGCCGCCGTTCTCCCCCTCCACCTCCACGGCAAGCTCCGCTACGGCGACAACCTCGAGGACGAGTGGTTCGCCGTCTTCCTCCTCTTCCACATCTCCCGCGAGTTCCCCGACCTCTCGGTCCGCGTCTGGGACACCGACGGCGAGTTCCTCCTCATCGAGGCCGCCTTCCACCTCCCCCGCTGGCTCAACCCGGAGACCAGCCTCAACCGCGTCTTCATCCGGCGCGGCGACCTCCACATCGTCCCCCGCGACAAGATCGCGTCCCCGTCGATCGTCGATTCGCTGAAGTTCTTGGTCGGCAACGGGGACGAGTCACGCGCCGGGGAGGCGGTGCAGAGCGCGGTGAAGGCCCGGATCGCGGGGTACCCCGAGCAGGCGAGGAGGAATATGCACAGGGTTAGGGTTAGGGTTCCGGTGTCGGTCGCGCAGGTGCTGAGGCACGAGCCCTGCCTCATTTCGCTCGCCGTGGAAGGGTTTTACGACAGGGATATCGACTCGATGAAGTATGCGGCGAGGATGGATAGGTTCTTAAGTAAGGGAAAGGAGGAGGAGTTCGTGCTCGTGGCCCTCACCTTGTCGAGGGCAATGTACGCGCAACTGGTGCAGCAGACGTTTCAGGCCCCGAAATGTTATCCGATGCCGAGCAGGAGCGATCCCAGGGCGTATATGGAAGCTGAATTGGGGATGAAGATTGCTTGCGGTTTTGAGATGATGTATCAGATGAGGCGAAGAGAGGGATTGGAAGGGAAAGGAAGCACGTGGGAGGCGTATAGAGAGAGTTTGGAGAGGAGCGGATACTTCGAAGGGTTGCTTCCGGGTTCGAAGGATTATAAGAGGTTGATGGAGAAGGCAGAGGAGTATTACAAGAATAGTTCCTTGTTCTCGAAGGCTAGGTACATGTTTCTTTCCCGGGCGCTGGATTTGTTTTCTGTTAGTATCGTAGTGTGCTTAGCTGATTGGTTTTGATTAATATTCTGCCATAGCTAGGATGCTTTGCATTAGCCTCTAAGTTTGGAGGTAGCATCATTTTAGCTCTATTGGTTAAAGATCAAGAGTTGGTTGTCAACAGCTTATTACTGTGGGAGTCTTGTATCTACTCAAGCTGGGCAATTATGCAGCTTCTAAAGTTTTTTGGTGCTTTCCAGATCTGTTTCATATCTCGATTTCCTCATACCGGGGGACAGAGCCAATATGTTTTTGTTCAATCATCAGCCTTACTCCCCTTTGATGATTTCTTTAAAGATTTGGGATATGAAATATCGTGGAATATAATTTCTTGGATGCGCCGAATTGAGACTTGCTTTCCTGTCCACCTAAAATGTGGCTTATCTGGTTGCTTCTTAGGGTAACAATCACAAGTTTTTGCTGCAACTGATACCGTTTTCTTTTTGAAATCTTTTAGCATGCTAAAGATGCCACGTTTTCCTTTTGCAGTGAAATGATGAGCTCTCCAGTCAAGTGCATAGATGAGATTCTTGCTTTACCTCACTCAGCCGATGATTTTAGGAATCAGGAGGTTCCTCCCTCTGATGATGACTCTTGGCTATACACTGGTGAGGATGAATTGAACTCCGCACTTCTGGAAAGACAGAAGGAAATGGAACTTTATGATGCTATGCATGGGAAAAAGCAGAAGTCAAAAGAGCCATCAGACACGGGTCCTTCGAACCACAGCAATGGTGATTGTGATCTCAGTAATATAGCAAAGACCATGGAGGCATTCGTCCATAAGGTGTCAAGCTACAAGGGAGCGGAAATTCCTGATCAAAGGTCTGTTTGCTTAATATGGAAAATTTTGTCTTTCTTGTGTCTTCAGCATGGGCATACACGCACCGGTGCATGTTGGTCCATAGTTACAATGACAAACCAACGTAGTTTATGTGGGTTACCAAAAGTGACAACCTATTACATTTAGGTTTTTAATTTACTTTCATTTTTGTATTTGGCATATTGTTATTGGGTTTTACAACGGTTGATTCACATAATTTTAGCTTGGATAACCTTGAAAGGCCAAAAATCAGTAGTGTCATTGTCTTCAAGTCCTCTTATTCGTATCTTTAATGCTGCATCTGTGGTGCTTTGTTGTGCTGTGATATTTCGTATGGTAGATGCTTGGGGCAAGCGATATTTTATTAAGTTGCTGTGGTTAATTCATAATAATGTTTGGTATCTGTTATAAGTTTTTTTTTTTTTTTGTGTAACAAAGGATTTCCTGACATGCATTTATTTTAAAATCATGGTACTTAGTTGTGCTGAGATGTGTTGTAACATGGCTACAGTAGATGATCGCCAAGCAATATTTTGATAAACAGTAGCGATTAGTAAAATGAAGTTTGTGCAGCATTTTGGAATCAGAAACAGCCTTGAACTTTCTTTCGTTGACATACTGTTGTTCGTTCTTGTTGGTAAAGTCACCTAATCCAATCCTTAACTGATCTCGTTTCGTCCATTTAAAGGGATACAGTAGACCTCGACGTGGATCGTTTTTTTAAGGACATGGAATCTGTACTTGGGCGACATGAAATGGAGGTTTCTTCTCCAGATGGAGATGCTGGAGAAGGGTCCTCCTCAGACATGGATTTTGGTGAGTTCTACTTTAACTGGACTCATGGGAGCTCGTAGTTCTAGCCTTGTTTCCTGTTTCATTGGTATTCTTTAGGTATGATCAGACTTGTATTATATTACAACTGTCTTTATTCATTAGCGGCAAAAATTAATGGAAGTAGGATTATATTATGATGTGGATGATCTTGAACAAAAGTTGAGGGATGTTTTCGTGGGACCAAGACCAGGACCGGCGAATGAATGGGCTTGTCAGATCCAGTTTATTGCTCTGTAGGTTGGCCCACCTAGTAAGATGCACCATAACAGATGAGTTTACGGGGTTGTGATCCAATGGATATCTTGGCACATCAGATGTGTAGAGGTGCACAAATTTTCATAATCTGAGGGACCTGTTGGATCTTGCAAATATCCCGACGTCTTATTTATGTTGCTTTAGGTAGTAATTTAAATTGTGCCAAAGACAAAAGAGGCCAAAATAGATGGAGAGGAACATATGTCGCATTTATGAAGAAAATTCTTCACTTTGCACACTTTAATGTAGATGCATGAATAGTCAAAATTGTATAGTTGATGGGAAAAAGAACGACAATAGTATATAAATGTTGGAATTATCTATAATTTGTTGTTGATAAGTTTATCTTGGCCTGATTATTAATATGAACTTATTTTGCTTAGCAAGAAAAGGAAAAAGTTACATTGTGCCCTTGCCATTTAGTGTTGCTTGTTGATAAGTCGATCTTTACATTGCATTGGGTGCCCTGTAAATACTTTGTCGAGAAGGACATTTATGCTTGTGCATATGTTTCCAACTGATATTTTCATGCATTCTATGATGTCATCAGATGAATCTGAAGATGCAACTGATGATGAAGACAAGGAGGATATTTTCATGGATTCTTATACGGATGCTTTAAATAGGGAATTGAAGAGCAGCACGCTTACTGAAAGTTTTGTTCGTGCAAATGAAGAACCTTTGAAAACAAATCAGGTACTTTCATCTTGTTCTGTAGAAATGCAGCACATATCTTTTGGGCAGAACTTCTCCGTAGTTTAATTCAATTGGATGTATCTCTCTTCATATCGATATTATAGCCAGCAGTTGCAATTGGGAGCCATGGAATTTGTCCATATATGGCATATAGATCTTTATTGTCTGGGAAACCTTCGTGTCATTGATTGATTATTGTCCTAAAATAAATTACTTGGCAAAAATCCATTACCTTTGTCTTGGGTGGCAAGGCAACTCGAGTATAATTTGGATGATGTGATTGGGAGCTGTGAGATCGCCTAGCTTCCATTGTCCAAGTGTCCCAGGTGCACCTGGTGGATGGGGTGCCCATAGGAGAAAATACGCAGCATCCATGCTGTGAGGTTCCGCTCAAATTTTGTTTTGTTGTGGCCCATTGCGAACCATGTGCATCAGCCCCCCAGGAGGCAGGTGGAATATATCAGGTTGCGATGATTGAAGTTGGGGCTCGACTATACATCAAACACATCCATTTAAAGCCCTTGTGGATTTAGGTCCCAGGTTCCAACTATCCTAGATCTTACCGTTGGTGAGGCCTCTGGGGAAATGTCAGAGAATAATTACTGAAAGTTTGCTGTTTGTCCTGGTTTGCAGAAACTTTCTAATCGAGCTTTTGCTATTAAAAGTTTAGGGTGACGCAGGAGTAGCTGGTCCGTGCTCCGGCATTGCCTAGCTTGTTAGTTATGGTTAGTTAGCATGAATAAATTATCCGCGAGGAAAACAAAGTACCCTGTTACAATCAGAGAATTGCGATTAAAATCTATCAATATCCTCGAGGTGTCGGTGAATATGTGTAACCTTGTGAGGTATTTCTATGCTGTCTCAGCCAGTTCGCTCTTTCCCTTTTATTCAAAACCATTCTTATCGAACTGACAATGACCTTTGTAATCTAATGTTGGGGAATTGCTGGGGGTTCGTTCCTCATTTTTTGTCTGGCTTCTGGGACACCCTTCTATACCATCTGATTTTTTATGTTCAAACTAAGTTGAGCATCCATGGTGTTTTCGTATCAGGGAGCATCAAGTTCCACTCAAGACATGGACGAGGATTTCACTCCGGTCGACGTGGACGTGAACCTGGTGAAGAACTTGCTCGACTCCTTCTCTTCCCAAGAGGGACTTCCCGGACCGGCCTCGAATTTGCTCGGTCTCATGGGGCTCCGCCTCCCGCAGGACGGCAACAAGGGGAAGTAGTCTCTGGCCTCTTTCCGTTTTCGTCAGCATGATGCAGAACTACTCCTGTAAATAGGTCAGTCTTTCCTGGTGCGCCTCCATACATCGGAGGCTGCCCGCGACAAATCTTAGAAGAGGGTCTGTGTTTTTTTGGTTATCATGCCGACGTCGTCGTCGCTTCCGGGGACTGTAGGATGTATTCTTGACTCCGTCGCTAACACTTTAGAACACTGTATTTGCACTTTTGAACAAATTAAGAAAATAGCTTGACATGATTACATGAGTTTGATATCATCCAAAGGTCATCATGTTAAGATAGATTATGTGGCTGATAATTCTAATGAACAAGCTTTTAGATGTTTTGACCACCAATTTCCCAAATTCCCAAGCAAGATCTTCTTTGTATTATTCAGGGTTGTTCTTCACCAGCTGGGCATGTAGTTTATAGCCTTTTTAACTCCTGCTCGACTTCCTGGCAAAATTACAATAATGCCCACATTCCCCCTGATCTTCGCAGCTCGCTCTATCCAATCCGAACCCTTCGATCTCCCATCTGACGGTCCACATCTCCCGTCAATTCGACCACACTATTTGCCGTCGTTTTCGTTTCTTTATTTACCCTGCTGCTCGTTTCTCACGACGAATTAAGAATAGAGGAGAAAAATCCCACACGCGGCTGGCGGCGGCGAGGGATCGGGAGCCCAACCACGCGTTGGTGGAGTAGCAGCGGCAGCGCGTCGGCTGCACAGCGGCGGGGGGCTGACTTTCTGGACTTTGTGCCCCTACTGCTACTATGCGCACGAGTACGAGAAGGCCTACGAGGGATGTTGCCTGTGGTGCGTGAACTTCAGGCGGGGCTTCCACTCGGCAGCCATCTGCTTGCCGCCGAAGGCGACCGCATTCGGGGGGGGGGGGGGGGGGGGGAGCGCGGTGGTGTTGGAGCGCAACGGAGCAGTAGGAGGGGGGAGGAGGCCATTATAAATGCCGCTTGGGGCTGTTCCGATTGAGGTACGAGTTGTGCGCGAGGGAGGGGAGGGGCAAGGAGGAGGGGTTGGAGAAGAAGATAGATGTGGGGGATTATTTAGTGGAGATATCGTCGGACGGTGGCGGGGGTGGGAGAGCGAGGCCAACTCGGGCCACGTGAATGCGGGCGACGAAGGAGGGGAAGCGAAGAAGAAGATGGAGGTGGAAGAAGAGAGGGAGGAGAAGGAGAAGGATAAGGAGAAGAGCGGTGGGGAGTTGGAGTTTGTGTACGAAGGAGACGACATTCAGATGAGTGCTTAGAGGAGGGACAGATCAACCCTTTTGTTTTTGGGTCCGATGTTGATACATAGTCACACACACAATTTCTCCCTCCTCTTGGTTTCTTTTGGGTTGGAAAAACAGTGAAATTGTACAAAGGAAGGTTTAAAAAAAGAAAGGTTGGTGACAAATTGTTGATTTTGGGAATCCAATTTCTCTGTTTGTGTTGGAGAATGGTTTAAACTAAGGGGGCATTTGGCAACTTGCCAAATAGTAAAAATTTCTGTTCTTTTGTTCCCAGAATCAGTTTGAGAGCAGAAATTCATTTGTTAAAATTTTTGTGCCCGGGCACAAATTTGCAACAAATTGTTCCCAGAATCAGTTTTGGAACAAAATCAAGAAGCAAAAAGAAGTAGCTTCTTGATTCTGGAACAATTTTTCCATTTATGATTCTTCTTTCTTTTTTATTTGTTCTTCATCTCCTTCCCAGCCCATTGCCGGTGACCGGCCACCAACGACCATCCATTGGCGATCGGCCAGGGCCGGTGAGGGCGGCCCTTGCCGCCCCCGGCGACAGCGAGGTCGGCCTCGCCAGATCTGGGCGAGGTCAAGCCTCGCCCGGCTAAGGCGAGGTTGACCTCGCCATCACGGGGCGTGGCGACAGCGAGGTCTGCCTCGCCATGGCTGGGCGAGGCCAACCTCGCCGTCGCCACCCCGGCGACGGCAAGGTTGGCCTCGCCTTGGCCAGGCGACGAAGTGGTTGGCCTAGCCAGATCACGGCGAGGTCAAGCCTCACCCGACCATGGCGAGGCCGACCTCGCCGTCGCGACCTACGAGGGAAACGATGCCCTCACCGGCCATGGCCAAAGAAAAAAAAGGAAAAAAAAAAGAAAGAAATATTAAAAAATTCAAAAAATTATTAATAAAAAGAAATTTTGTATAGTCACCAAACGCATTTATGTTTTTTTTTATTCTAAAAATAGAAATTTTGAGCAGTTACTAAACGCCTTCAAATGCTTAGAAATTGTTTCTGGGCACAGAATAAAAAAAATCATTTCTGAGCAGAATCTGTTTCTGGACACAGAATGGTTGCCATGCGGAGCCTAATAGCTTAGTAGTTTTGTTTGACTGGAATGAAGAAATAGGAGGTCAATAGGAGTGAAGGATACGAATGGGTATCGATCGTTGGGCTTGTTCCTTTTCTTTTCCAAAGCGGTTTATGTTTATGTCTCTACGATGCCCTCTTTTTGTTTTTTGATACGTACCCATCTAATCAAATGTCACTCTTTTAAACTATATTTCTGGACAAACCTCAAAAAGTGATGCGTCGCGTAAGGGTTAAGATGAGCAACAAGGGACAATCTATTAGTCCCTACCATAGTCCTAGGGGAAAATTCCAATTAAGGACCCCAAGTGGGGTTTTTTTCTCAAAAAAGGATCCCAAGTGGATATAGTGTCAAATAAGGACTTGAAGTGCCCAATCAGTCTCAAATAGGGACCCGCAGTGCCCAATTAGTCTCAAGTAAGGGCCTGGGTTCGCCGGCCGGCGAGCACGGTTACTGTTCCGGTGACCGGAAAATGGCAGTTTTGACTTTTTTTTTTCCTTTTATGTTTTTTTTCTTCTCTTCCCTCCGCCAGCCATAGCCGGGGCCGGCAGAGGTCGCTCGCCTCAGGCGAAGGCCGCCCTCGCCTGCGTCGGGCGAGGTCAAGGGTTGCCCTCGCTGGCATCGGGCGGCCCTCGTCTGGGCTGGGCAGGCGAGGGCTACCCTCGCCAGATCCGACGAGGGCGACCCTCGCCCTCGCCCTCGCCCGACACTAGCGAGAGCGGCCTCCGCCTGAGGCTGGCGACCTCCACCTGAGGCCGGCGACCTCTGCCGGCCCCGGCTATGGTCGGGGGAGGGAAGAAAAGGAAAAAAAACAGAAAAAAGGAAAAAAAAAGACGAAACTACCCTTTTCCGGTCGCCGGAACAGTAACCGTGCTCACCGACCGGCGAGCATTTGACCGGCCGGCGAACCCAAATCCTTACTTGAGACTAATTAGGCACTTCGAGCCCCTATTTGAAATTGATTGGACACTTCATCCCTTTATTTGACATTATGTCCACTTGGGGTCCTTTTTTTAGAAAAAGACCTCACTTGGGGTCCTTAATTGAAATTTTCCATAGTCCTGGACAGTCTCATTCTAGCCACCCCAAAGAATTTCTGCTTTTGCTCTTGTTGATTTCGTTCGAAGATATCGTGGCATTACCTCTGTGGCATTTGCTGTTCCGTCCGTCTTCCCACATGGTAATGCTGAGCTGAGGAACCTACTGTTGATAATCGAAGGACCAAATTGGTTAGTCTTTGAAATCAGGAAGCCTCAGGAAATCATCAAATGGTGTCTCGTTAGGAACATAGCCGACTACATCGTTTCTTGCACATAATATGAGTAACTCACTCTATGACTTTCATGTACCTTGAAACTAGTGGTTAGCCTTTAATAGGTGGTTGGACGGTTTTAAATCCTGATCAAAGGGCTAGTTGGCATTTAAATTAGTGCTTGGACGGTTTTTGGTGGTTGGCATTTAATTGGTGATTGAACGGTTTTAAATCCGGATCAAAGTGGTGGTCGGCATATAAAAATTGCTCACAAAAGAACTATGTGCTACATTTAATTCTCTATATTTGCCTTGGCATAAAACCAAGTGAATCTGATTATAATTCTCTATAGAAGGTGTGAATAATTGTAGTATGTGAGAAGAATATTTGAGTATAGTGAGAAATGCTCGAGTTTATAGAGAGTACTAGAGAAGGTAAGTGTGAAAATAACTTTAAAGGAAAATTTTAAATAAGGATTCGAAGTGGAGCCATTTTCTTAAAAAAGGATTCAAAGTAAACTTTGTCTCAAATAATAACCTGAAGTGACTAACTTGGTCTTAAATAAAGACCTCAACTTCCAATCTTATTCATAACCAGGAGTATTTTTGTCCAAAAACATTTTGTCTTTACTTTTCTTTTTCTTTCGTTTTTCTCTCTTTCTTTTTTTATTTCTTTTCTTTCTTTCTTCATCTTCCTCACGCCTCCTCCTTCGCTCTACATCACCTCCAGTTTTAACGCCATCATTAGCCCCTCTATTCTCTGTGATAAGACCTGTCACAATCTGGTCTTCACTCACTAACCTTTATTAGGGCTCTCTCTAATTGATTCTACTTATTGACAAATTTTGAAGGATGTAAGATCGGTTTGTAAAATAAGGTGTTCCTGCTAAATCGTCGAAAAAGGCCATAACTCCAATCCAGCTTCTCGTCACCAAGACCGACGATAGCCTGCGTGACGACGTGAAGCTCAGGAGCTCACTGGTGGGCATCCTGATGATGGTGTCGAGACAGAGACGTGAGGAAGATGAAGAAAGAACAAGAAGAAAAAACGAAAACAAAACGAAAAAGAAGTGAAAATGAAGAAAGAAAAAATATCCTTGGACGAAAATACCCTTGGCTATTAATAAGATTTGGAGTTCCGGTCCTTATTCGAGACTAAGTCACTTTGGGTCCTTATTCGAGAAAATGTCTATTTTGGATCTTCTTTTGAGAAAAGTGCTTCACTTCGAACTTTTAATTGAAATTTTCCCTAAATTTGAACACGGAATCCATTTTATTGTTTTGAAAGGGCCCACCGAAAACAAAGAGTAATAAATTTCACACGTTTTAAGCCAGAAACACCCATCTCCTTCTGGAACCGCCATCTTCACCCCCAATATAAAGCCATCTTCACCCAATATAAAACGCCATCTTCACCCCACCCCACTGTCACTGCCTATGCCATCTTCACCCTACTTCCTTTCGATTAACCACCTCAATGGTGTGGATATGGATAACGTTCACTTTCGTTGTAATTGCTTGTCTCTTATTGCGAGCTTTGCTGTGGAAAACACATAGCAAGAAGATATTGCCTCCTGGTCCAAGAGGATTTCCGATTCTTGGAAACCTCAATTTATTAAAACAGAACCCTCACCATGATTTCGACAAGCTAGCTAAAAAATATGGACTCCTCATGTACTTGCGCCTCGGGTTCGTGCCCACGATCGTTGTCTCATCACCCGAAGTGGTTGCGCAATTCCTCAAGACCCACAATCTTGTTTTTGCGAGCCGGCCGCTGCACGAGGCTTGGAAACACATCTCTTACGAGCAAAGAAACTTATCATTCACGGCGTATGGCCCATATTGGAGGAACATTCGAAAGATTTTCACTTTGGAGCTTCTTAGCAATGCTAAAATCAACTCTTTCAAGTCCATGAGAAAAGAAGAGGTCAACTTGCTCTTGAATTTTCTCAAAGATGCGTCTCATAACTGCACGGCCATCGACTTGAGCGTGAAGATCTCATCGCTAAGCGTTGGCATGAGTTGCCGGATGGTGTTTGGGAAGAAGTATATAGACAAGGAGTTTGACGAGAGAGGGTTTAAGGCTGTGATTCAAGAATGGATGGTGTTGGCCGCGACACAGAAAATTAGTTACTATGTTCCTTATTTGGCATCATTTGATCTTCAGGGGTTGACGAAGTGCATGAAAGCTGTGAGCAGAGTATTCGATGCTTTCTTCGAGAAAGTTATTAACAAGCACATGGAGTCCAAGAAAGAGGAAGGAGAGACCAAAAATTTTGTTGATGTCATGTTGGGTATCGTGCGATTGAACAAGGGAGAATGCCATATCGACAGGCCCCATATCAAAGCCATAATTCTGGTAATTTATCAATTTTTTGTCGCATGATTAACAAATAATACCCGTAACCTTAATTATTGTTCAATCAATTATTTTATTTTTTTTTTCTCGACCTCACTCGCCCCTAGCGAGGTTCAACCTCGCTGGATCTGGCGAGGGCTCATCCTCGCTGTAGCTGGCGAGGTTGGCCTCGCCTAGCCACGGTGAGGTCGAGCCTCGCTAGGGGCGGGTGAGGATGAGCCCTCGCCAGATCTGGCAAGGTCGGCCTCGCCCAGCAACGGTCAGGTCGAGCCTCGCCAGAGGCAGGCAAGGTTGAGAAAAAAAATAAAAAAAAATTGATTGAACAATAATTAAGGTTACGGGTATTATTTGTTTATTAGGCGACAAAAAATTGATAAATTACCATAATTATGGCTTTGATATTAGGCCTGTCGATATGGCACTCTTCTTCGTTCAATCCCATGATACTCAACATGACATCAACAAAATCTTTGGTCTCTCCTTCCTCATTCTTGGACTCCATGTGCTCGTTAATAACCTTCTCGAAGAAAGCATCGAATATTCTGCTCACAGCTTTCACGCGCTTCGTCAACTCGTGAAGATCAAATGATGCCCAATAAGGAACATAGTAACTGACTTTCTATGTCGCGGCCAACACCATCCATTCTTGAATCATAGCCTTGAACCCTCTCTTGTCAAATCCTTGTCTATATACTTCTTCCCAAACACCATTCGGCAACTCATGCGAGCGCTTAGCGATGAGATCTTCGTGCTCAAGTTGATGGCCGTGCGGTTGTAAGACACATCTTTGAGAAAATTCACGAGCAAGCCCACCTTTTCTTTTCTCATAGAGTTGAAGGAGTTGATTTTAGCATTGCTAAGAAGCTCCAAAGTGCACATCTTTCGAATGTTCCTCCAATATGGGCCATACGTCGCGAATGATAAGTTTCTTTGCTTGTAAGAGATCCGTTTCTAGGCCTCATGCAGCGGCCAACTCACAAAAACAAGATCGTGGGTCTTGAGGAATTGTGCAGCCACTTCGGGTGACGAGACAACGATCATGGGCACGAACCCGAGGTGCAAGTACATGAGGGGTCCATATTATTTAGCTAGCTTGTGGAAATTATGGTGAAGGTTCTGTTTTAATAAATGGAGGTTTCCAAGAAATGGAAATCCTCTTGGACCAGGAGGCAATATCTTCTTGCTATGCGTTTTCCACAGCAAAGCTCGCAATAAGAGACGAGCAATTACAACGAAAGTGAGCGTTATCCATATCCACGCCATTGAGGAGGTTAATCGAAAGGAAATGGGGTGAAGATGGCAGTGGCAGTCGTAGTGGGCTGGGGTGAAGATGGCGCTTTATGTTGGGTGAAGATGGCTTTATATTGGGGTGAAGATGGTGGTTCCGGAAGGAGATGGGTGTTTCTGGCTTAAAATGTGTGAAATTTTTTACTTTTTGTTTTTAGTAGGCCCGTTCAAAACGATAGAATGGATTCCGTGTTCAAATTTTTCCCACACTTACCTTCTCTAGTACTCTCTATAAACTCGAGCATTTCTCACTATACTCAAATATTCTTCTCACATACTACAATTGTTCACACATTCTATAGAGAATTATAATCAAATTAACTCAGTTTTTTGCCAAGGCAAAGATAGAGAATTGAATGTAGCACATAGTTTTTTTGTGAGCAATTTTTATATGCCAACCACCACTTTGATCCGAATTTAAAACTGTTCAATCATCAATTAAATGCCAACCACCACAAACCGTCCAAGTACTAATTTAAATGCCAGCCAGCCCTTTGATCAGGATTTAAAATTGTCCAACCACCTATTAGAGACTAACCACTAGTTTCAATGTACATGAAAGTCATAGAGTGAGTTACTTATATTATGTGCAAGAAACGATATAGCTGGCTATGTTGCTAACAAGACATCATTTGACGATTTCCTGGGGCTTCCTGATTTCGAAGACTAACCAATTTGGTCCTTCGATTATCAATAGCAGGTTCCTCAGCTCAGTATTATCATGTGGGAAGACGGACGGAACAGCAAATGCCACAAAGGTAATGCCACGACATCTTCGAGCGGAATCAATAATAGCAGAAGGAGAAATTCTCTAGGGATGGCTAGAATGAGATTGTCCAGGGCTGTGACAGGGACTAATAGACTGTCCCTTATTGCTCATCTTAACCATTACAGACGCATCACTTATTGAGGTTTGTCCAGAAATATAGTTCAAAAGAGTGACATTTGATTAGATGGGTACATATAAGAAAACAAAAAGAGGGCATCGTAGAGACATAAACCAAGATTGCTGCTTCGGAAGAAAGGAACAAGCCCAACAATCGATACCCATTTGTATTCTCCACTCCTATTGACCTCCTATTTCCTCATTCCAGTCAAACAAAACTACTAAGCTATTAGTCTAAACCGTTCTCCAACACAAAAAGAGAAATTGGATTCCAAAAATCAGCAATTTGTCATCAACCCTTCTTTTTTTTAACCTTCTGCTGTACAGTTTCACTGTTTTTCCAACCGACAAGAAACCAAGAAAAGAGAGAGAGATTGTGTGTGTGTGACTATGTATCAACATCGGACCCAAAAACAAAAGGGTTGATATGTCCCTGCTTTAAGCACTTACCAAAAATTTTGTCTCTTTTATACTCAAACTCCAACTCCCCACCGCTCTCCTCCTTCTCCTCCCTCTCTTCTTCTTCCACCTCTATCTTCTTCGTCGCTTCCCCTCCTTTGTTGCCCGCATTCACGCGGTCAGTCTTTCGGGGTGCGCCTCCATACTTCGGGTGATGAGACAACAATCGTGGGCATGAACCCGAGGCGCAAGTACATGAGGGGTCCATATTTTTTAACTAGCTTGTGAAGATCATGGTGACGGTTCTGTTTTAATAAATGGAGGTTTCCAAGAATCTGAAATCCTCTTGGACCAGGAGGCAATATCTTCTTGTTATGCGTTTTTCACAACAAAGCTCGCAATAAGAGACGAGGAATTACAGCGAAAGTGAGCGTTATCCATATCCATGCCATTGAGGTGATTAATCGAAAGGAAGTGGGGTGAAGATGGCAGTGGCAGTGGCAGTGGCAGTGGGGTGGGGTGAAGATGGCAGTGGCAGTGGGGTGAAGATGGTAGTGGCAGTGGCAGTGGCAATGGCAATGGGGTGTGATGAAGATGGCAGTGGGGTGAAGATGGCAGTGACACTGGGGTGAAGATGGCGCTTTATATTATGGTGAAGATGGCAATGGCAGTGATAGTGGCGGTAGGGTGAAGATGGCGTTTTATATTGGGGTGAAGATGGCGGTTCCGGAAGGAGATGGGTGTTTCTGGCTTAAAATGTGTGAAATTTATTACTCTTTGTTTTTAGAGGGCCTGTTCAAAACGATAGAATGGATTCCGTGTTCAGATTTATTCCACACTTACTTTCTTTAGTACTCTCTATAAACTCGAGCATTTCTCACTATACTCAAATATTCTTCTCACATACTACAATTGTTCACACCTTCTATAGAGAATTATAATCAAACTCACTCGATTTTATGCCAAGGCAAAGATAGAGAATGAATGTAGCACATTGTTCTTTTATGAGCAATTTTTATATGCCAACCACCACAAACCGTCCAAGCACTAATTTAAATGCCAACCAGCCCCTTGATCAGGATTTAAAATCGTCCAACCACCTATTAAAGGCTAACCACCAGTTTCAAGGTACATGAAAGTCATAGAGTGAGTTACTTATATTATGTGCAAGAAATGGTGTAGCCGGTTATGTTGCTAACAAGTCACCATTTGATGATTTCCTGGGGCTTCCTGATTCGAAGACTAACCAATTTGGTCCTTCAATTATCAACAGCAAGTTCCTCCGCTCAGCATTATCATGTGGAAAGACGGATGGATCAACAAATGCCACAAAGGTAATGCCACGACATCTTCGAGCGGAATCAATAATAGCAAAAGCATAAATTCTCTGGGGGTGGCTAGAATGAGATTGTCCAGGGCTGTGGCATGGACTAATAGATTGTCCCGTGTTGCTCATCTTAACCCTTACAGACGTTTCACTTATTGAGGTTTGTCCAGAAATATAGTTCAAAAGAATGACATTTGATTAAATGGGTACGTATCAGAAAACAAAAAGAGGGCATCGTAGAGACATAAACCACGACTGCTGCTTCGGAAAAGAACAGGAACAAGCCCAACAATCGATACCCATTTGTATCCTCCACTCCTATGGACCTCCTATTTCCTCATTCCAGTCAAACAAAACTACCAAGCTATAAGTCAAAACCATTCTCCAACACAAACAGAGAAATTGGATTCCAAAAATCAGCAATTTGTCATCAACCCTTATTTTTTTTAACCTTCCGCTATACAGTTTCACTGTTTTTCCAACCGACAAGAAACCAAGAAGAGAGAGAGAGAGAGACGGTGTGTGTGACTATGTATCAACATCGGACCCAAAAACAAAAGGGTTGATATGTCCCTGCTCTAAGCACTTACCAGAATTTTGTCTCATTTATACTCAAACTCCAACTCCCCACCGCTCTCCTCCTTCTCCTCCCTCTCTTCTTCTTCCACCTCTATCTTCTTCTTCGCTTTCCCTCCTTTGTCGCCCGCATTCACACGGTCAGTCTTTTGGGGTGCGCCTCCATACTTTGGGGATGAGACAACGTTTGTGGGCACGAACCCGAGGCGTAAGTACATGAGGGGTCCATATTTTTTAGCTAGCTTGTGGAGATCATGGTTAGGGTTCTGTTTTAATAAATGGGGGTTTCCAATAATCGGAAATTCTCTTGGACCAGGAGGCAATATCTTCTTGCTATGCGTTTTCCACAGCAAAGCTCGCAATAAGAGACGAGGAATTACAGCGAAAGTGAGCGTTATCCATATCCACGCCATTGAGGTAGTTAATCAAAAGGAAGTATGGTGAAGATGGCAGTGGCAGTGGCGGTGGCAATGGCAATGGGGTGGGGTGAAAATGGCAGTGGCAATGAGGTGAAGATGGCGCTTTATATTGGAGTGAAGATGGCAGTGGCAGTGACAGTGGCAGTGGGGTGAAGATGATGCTTTATATTGGTGTGAAGAGGGCTTTATATTAGGTGAAGATGGCTTTATATTGAGGTGAAGATGGTGGTTCTGAAAAGATATGGGTGTTTCTGGCTTAAAATGTGTGAAATTGATTACTCTTTGTTTTTAGTGGGCCCGTTCAAAACGATAGAATGAATTCCGTGTTCAAATTTATTCCACACTTACCTTCTCTAGTACTCTCTATAAACTCGAGCATTTCTCACTATACTCAAATATTCTTCTTACATACTACAATTGTTCACACCTTCTGTAGAGAATTATAATCAAATTCACTCTGTTTTATGCCAAGGCAAAGATAGAGAATTGAATGTAGCACAAAGTTCTTTTGTGAGCAATTTTTATATGCCAACCACCACTTTGATCCGGATTTAAAACCGTTCAATAACCAATTAAATGCCAACCACCACAAACCGTCCAAGCACTAATTTAAATGCCAACCAGCCCTTTAATCAAGATTTAAAACCGTCTAATCACCTATTAAAGGCTAACCACCAATTTCGAGGTACATGAAAGTCATAGAGTGAGTTACTTATTGTTGAGTATGTCTTAAATTCTTTATGGACTTGGGCCAACTTTAGGGCTTGGGGTTAATATAAGTATTGTTTTTCTCAAGTTATGAGGTTAAGAAGTTGAGACAGAAAGAGTCTTTAGCTTTTGAACCATCTTTTGTAATCGTCAATATTCTATAGTGGGTTTTGCTTCTCCTCTCCCCGTGGTTTTTCCTTCAAGGGTTTTCCACTTAAATTTTGGTGTTCTTTATTCTTCTTAGTTTTAATTTCATCATTGTTTCCGCATCAGTCATAACAATCTGGTATCAGAGCTTCGGGGTTTTTCGATCTTCTAGTTATAGCTTCAAGTTCAACAACGAAATTTGATATCAAGAAGTTTGATGGGAGCGGCAATTTCAAACTATGGTAGGTTCGTATGTTGGCCGTTCTTACGCAGCAGGGTTTAAAGAAAACTCTGTTAGGGGAAGGGAAGAAACCGCAAAATACGTCAGATGAAACTTGGGAAAAATTGGATGCAAAAGCTCTATTTGCTATTCAGTTGTGTCTTAGGAATGAAGTTCTGCAAGAGGTACTAGATCAGAAAATAGCTTCAGGTTTATGGACGAAATTGGAGAGTATTTATTTGACAAAATCCTTCACCAATCGGTAGAGGCTCAAGCAACGACTCTTCGCTCTTCAAATGGCAGAAGTCTCAATACAGATCCTTTCATATGTCTATCCAGAAGAAATAATAACCGGATCATACATAAGCTGCAAGGATATGGGACACCTGGTGGACGTGGCATCTGGCCTGATTTCCTGATACTCGGCCTGAAGTTAAAAGAACGGGAAAAAATCACCAAAAACCCCAAACTTTGTCATTTGTGACACATTTACCCCAAACTTTTTTTTGTGACACCAAAACCCCGAACTTTGCTTTTTGTGACACATTTACCCCAATGTATTTAGTCCATGGGCATTTTCGTCTTTTTTGCTTTTTCTTTTTTTTTCCTTTCCGGCGAGGGGGGGCCTCGCCGGCGTCGGGCAAGGTTCGCCCTCGCCTGGGCGAGCGAGGGCGGCCCTCGCCGGACTCAGGCGAGGTCGACCCTCGCGCCGCGCCGGGCGAGGGTCGACCTCACCCGAGTCGAGCGAGGGCGACCTCGCCGGCTGCCGGCGAGGTCCGCCGCTCGCCGGGTGAGCGAGGGCGGCCTCGCCAGATCGGGCGAGGGCGACCTCGCCGACGCCGGCGAGGGTCGCCCTCGCCCGATCCGGGCGAGGGCCGCCCGACGCCGGCGAGGGTCGACCTCGCTAGATCGCGAGGGCCTCCTCGCCCCGCGCCGAGGGTCGCCTCGTTGGGCGAGCGAGGGCGACCTCGCCCGACCCTCGCGGAAAGGAAAAAAAAAAAAGCAAAAAGACGAAAATGCCCATGAACTAAATACATTGGGGTAAATGTGTCAAAAAGCAAAGTTCGGGGTTTTGGTGTCATAAAAAAAGTTCGGGGTAAATGTGTCACAGATGGCAAAATTTGGGGTTTTTGGTGGTTTTTTCCCTAAAAGAACTCAGCTTTGATAGCTATCTTTCAAATGCTTGATCATTGGCCACAGTGCCTCCCTCATCAAGGGAACCCTGAACGGTTGGTGAACAAGGAGTTGATCCCTGCGAATCATTGTCGTCAGAGAATATACTCCTGAATAACTTCAAATACTTTCGTATTAGATGTAAAAGATAAGCCATAATTGATTCCTTTCGCTTATCTTCCACTGCTTTAGCTCTTTCAATAAGTTTCTTTAGAGCTCTTCTCTCTGTAAGAGCCGCTCTAGAAGAAGTGATTCCAAGTTGAGTAGCTGCTTGATGGAAAGACTCGAGTTCATTAGTATCATTAGAATCATTAAATTTTCTTCCTTGCTGGAGCAATGCAATTATTTCCTCGCCAACTTGCTTCTCCTGCGGATCAAGTGAAAACACAACAGACAGCCTCCAGATCGGCAACAATCTCCAATATCTGTAAAAATAGAATGCAGTGACTGGTTCAGCCTATTTCCGTTTAAGCAAGAGAGACTCGTGGACCATTCAAATTACTTAAAATGAAAATAAAAAAATACAACATGCAAAGTAATAACATTCAATAAAATTGCCAAAGCACATAGAAGGGCAACGAACTTGTAGAAACATTTGCATAATTGCCATAAAGAATGTTCCATTAAATCAGTAAAGAGTAAAAGAGTAGGTCTCTCAGTGCCCCTCATCTGAAGCTTTGCTTACGAAGTAGATAAACAAGCCAATCATCCGCGTATAGATCATCCTAGTCAATTTCCTTTCAATTTAGGAGAAAGGTCTCCATAAAAATCAGCTTGATTTATAAAAAAAATATGAACTTGCCCCCGTATCGATAGTAGTCTAAACAACTAAAAATTTCGTGACAACTGATAGAGGACAATGTCTTCAACTCTTCTGAGGCTATCTGCAAGAGCAGACCGAGCATTTTCAAACTTAAGAAGAACAGAATCCCCTGTCATTGCCTGCAAAGGAAAATGGATTGCTGAGAGAAAACTACAAAGCTTGGCACGTGAAATCAAAGCTAATGTAATAATAAAATAAAATAGGAGAAGAAGATAAGACTTATGACCCCGAGTGCCTCTTCAATCTCCCAAAAGAAACCTCTGTTGGGAGCCGCATATAATTCACAATGCTAGAAGATCACAAATAAGAGAATGGCATCGCTCAAAGTTCGAAGAAGAACGTCACCAGGTAAGGTTTACTACAATCTGAGCAATGGTGAAGTATATTCTTGGTTTTTCCCAGGGCCACATGCAATGAGCACAAAGCCTGAATTCGAGAGTTAGCTTCTAGGCCTTGCAGCTTCTAATTCAGGGAAAATTGCCAATACTTTGCAGCAAGTTGCAGAGAGAGTCCTACACATTTCTCCATGTAACTGGAAAAATGCAATTTGTCAGGTGAGCCACCAAACTCTAATCGTAGACAAAATGATCGACTTATCACGGTCCAATGCTAAAAGAGGGCACTATAAGCTGAGCTGATTTTAGTCAAATAATTGACAATTTCAGAATTACAATTCAAACAATAAACAACACTCTTCATAACTAGAGCCTTCTAAAATTGGAACAAAACTTCAACCATAGTATAAATTTTACAAATCAGGAGCTCAATTCAACTTACCAATCGATATCACCAAAAGCCATGGCAACAAGTACGAAAACTACCCTCTTTTTATTGTGCCAACAAAATAAACAACTGAACTTTTTTCGACAGAAACAAGTGGTCTTTTAGGTGGTTGAGAAAGTATCGGTACAGGAATATTGGCTCCGGCACAATATTGACTGGCAGCCTTAGCTTCTAGTAGAAAGATCACCTTAGAAATCAATTCTTTTGGCAAATTTTGTGCTTATATAGTACTTTCATACCTTGGTTTCGCTAGCCGCAAAATAACTTTCTTCCGCTTCAACAACGTCCATAGGTCGTGCTAACATGGAAAACTCCTGAGCAAGTTTCTACGGTTTGCCACAGGAAAAAACAAATGGAGCAATTTCCATCGTCATAAAAGAAACGAACTTGTTCGGTTTTAAAATCAGAAAGATAACACAGCTACTGAATTCCGAGACGGCCAAGAAAATTTGTAAGAGGATCAATGATAACAGGTTACAGCTACAGGGCATAGCTACTAATAAAAATAAAAATAAAAATAAAAGAAGAGAAAAATTGAAGAAGCAGTTGAACAGGCGGAGGGGCTGAACTTGGAAAAAGGAAAAAAGAGAGGGCTTTTTGGTCTTTTTAACTTGGTAATTTAAGAGTTGTTAATTTAGTTTGTTAGTAACTTACTAATATTATTATGCAATTACCGACTTTTTTGTTCATTTGTGAAGCACCAACTTTTATTTGTGTAATTTACTATCGTTTCGGATTTATTAACTCTTAAATGAAAAATATCGAACTAAAATTAGTGTGACTTACAACTTCTGTCATATTAACTTACCAACTAGTATTTTGGATTGCAAGCTGTCGTTTGAGTTACTTATTAAACTCTAATTGTTTGGCCTAATTCATCAATTTTAATGAAGTTACCAACTTTTATTTACTATGGTTGGCAATTCCTTATTTACTAACCTTTTCAGCAATTGCCATTCTAAATTAGTGTAACTCGTCAACTTTTCTCCCATTATATTACCACCTAATATCGGGTCAACTCTCATTGAGATTTGACCCGCACCCACTTCACCCCAAACCCAAAAACAAAAAAAAAAAACAACAAAGGACTCTCATTGAGTTATTGACGGACATCTGTTTACGTTTCTAATCTGCTAACTTTTCTTACCGACAAATTTTTAGTTGAATTTCTTAGCCACGCCTTAATTTACCGACTCTTTTCCAAAAATTACCAACTTACTTTTTAGCCAAAAAAGAAAAAAATTGTTCTTAAGTTTTACAAAGCGATTTATCAACTTTTTTTTCGATTAAGTTATTAACTAGTTTGAGGCTCTTATTAATTTAACCACTTTTTTATTGGGTTACTTAATTGGCCAAAAGTTTGCAGGAATAAAAGTATATCATAAAATAGTTGGTAAATCTAAAGCTTTGATAACAAGGACAAATAGAAGTTGGAAAAAGATAAGAAAATTATTAGAGAAGAGAAGTTGGTAATTTAAGGCTGAACTTGGAAAAAGGCAAAAAGGGAAGGCTTTTTAGTCTTTTTACCCGACGGACCGGTTTCGGGTCGGTCGGGTTTTTTGGGGGAATTGCAAATAAAGAGAAAACTCTCGAAGCCAAGCCCCGTTTGGTCAATCGCCTTCTCTTCTCACCCACCTCTCTCTCTCTCTCGTTCCTTTTTTCTCGATTTAGAACTTGACTGAGAAATAACTCTCAGTCAAAAGAGGCTCCATCTTCTCAACTCGAATTAAGATTTGCCCTCCCAATCTGATATGGGAGTATTTTATTGTTTTTATCTATTTTTTTTTGCTTTTTTTCTTTGCTCACTGCTTCTACTCTTCTCTGCTTGTTGGCCTTATCTTCTGCTCCTATCATTAGGAATCAACTCGCGGCTTCAGATCCTCCAAACCAAGAAATCTAACAGGATCGAGGAAGAATACGATGTGTTCATACTGCACTGGAAGCGTTATACAATTTCTCCAAGTTTTGGAAGCTTTCATCACCGGATCTAGGATCTCTTCTCTCCCAATCTAAATTTAGATCTGTGAGTTCCTTAAAGGCGTTTCTATACTCGTTCAATCTCTCCCGGTCTAGATTTAGATTCAAAAGCCTGTTCAACTTGTTTATGGAGTCTCCATACGGTAATGGTGTTGAGGAAGTTGAATCTAAGCGTGCGCCACCTACTAAGCAAGCCTAGCTATTGGAGAAGGAGATTACAATGTGTGCTCATCACTTATAATGATGCAAGATTCGATGATCGGCCATCGTTCGTTCTGTTTTGATGCTGAGACATATTTGTTCTTATGGGATGAGAGTGTGTTTATCACAATAGTTTGTGCTTTATTCTTTTACTTGCTGTTTGAGATTTTCTTTATTTTGAACATCTCATGTATTATATTGAGATATTAAGATATGAAGGATATATTTACTTTCGACAAAAAAAAATTGTTGGATTCTTCGAATTTGGAGGATCATGATTATCTCAATAATGTGATTTTAATATGACACATGATTTCGCTACAAATGCATGCATGACATGTTTCTCAATTCTCATTAGTCATGCTCATTCTCTCTCTCTCTCTCTCTCCCTCTGGGTGTCTTTGGACATGTGGGGGAAAAGCATACCACAAATGTCCTTAAATGTCACAACTTATTTTCGATCATATGAGTATCATAACTTATATACGATGTTCATTTGAGTGACATATAACTTCCCAATTGATTACTTTAGTATTATAACTTTCTAAAAACGTTCGCCAGAACTGCTATGCCACATTAGATTTTTAGCACTTGATCGAATGTTTTTAAGAAGTTATGACACTTAATGGAACTTTGAAAGTTATAGCACTTAATTAAACATTTTTTCAAAGATCATGACACTCATGTGGTTGAAAAAAAGTTATAATACTCAGGTAAGCACCGTGCAAAAGTTATGACACTTATAGTGTCCGTATCACAACACGTGGATGTGTTCCAAATGCCACTAAAGTATGATCATCAAGACTATAGTTTCATAGTCAAAACAAGGGAAAACCCAACAACGTTGGACTCGATATTTTTTATTAGCCAAATTGAATGGAGTTAACGGAGAAATTTGATTACACCAATGTGGCAGGTCTTAGTGCTTAAAAGCATTGGAAATTTTAGGAAAAGATTCCGCTCTCACAGCAAGTTTTAAGACTTTCGCACTCAAAACAACAATGTGGTTTTCTCCGTGCAAACTCGTCAACTCAAATCACTGAACTATCAAGATTGTGTGTCAGGCGACAGCCTCCTCAGCCGCCTATTCTTGTTTTCTAAATACGAAGATTAATTATGGTATTATAGAGTGAAGAAAGAAATTAAAAGCCTAAAGCCAACTGTAGCAGAAGTTGAATTAATTTTTCCTCTTTTTTTAAAAAGAAAGACAGATTTCTCTTTTTTTTTAAATTACTTTGGCTGTATTATCTCTAATTCAAGTTGTGGACCGAATAATAATCATTTCTAAAAAGTAGGTATGCTCTTCTTTAATCCTAGGCAACAAGGCTTGTGTTTGGCAACTTTTAACGCTTCATTTGACGTTATAAGAGCACCCAGAGAACTCATATAATTCCTATTCTACTAAGCTGATACCAACATAGAACTAAGTGAGGGAATTGCTCTATTGTATCTCGTAAATACTTGAGTTGAGAACGGCAATACATAATTCGAAAAAGTTACACGTTTCAATGTTTTAAGTCTAATTGAGGATGGTCGGTGCCCGATTAAAGTATTATATTGACATTAAATCGAAAATAGATGGTTTTTAATATGCCTCGAAAGTCTCGAGGACTTTGTAAGATTTGAACTGCTAAAATAATCCACGTACAGTAGATTGGAAACAAATAAGGAAATCATTACATGGAACTTTAATGAATCAAAACGGATGGCTTTACATTCTTGGATTTACTTGCTCAATTACTACATTTGAACAAAAACTTCTTCATGGAGATGACTGAAGTGTGAAGAGAAAGTGAAAAGCTTAATCAATATGACTGGATAGCCTTTTTAATCAAAGATGAGTACCGAAACTTGGAATCCTAATAAAATCCGAACTTGAAATTCAAACCTAGACAAAACCTAATCTAAATCGATCTGACGTGAATGATCTTCTCTTCATGGTGGCGCACGCTTAGATTCAACTTCCTCAACACCATTACCATATGGAGACTCCATAAACAAGTTGAGCGGGCTTTTGAATCTAAATCTAGACTGGGAGAGATTGAACGAGTATAGAAACGTCTTTAAGGAACTCACAGATCTAAATTTAGATTGGGAGAGGAGATCCTAGATCCGGTGATGAAAGCTTCCGAAACTTGGAGAAATTGTATAACGCTTCCAGTGCAGTATGAACACATCATATTCTTCCTCGATCCTGTTAGATTTCTTGGTTTGGAGGATCTGAAGCCGCGAGTTGATTCCTAATGATAGGAGCAGAAGATAAGGCCAACAAGCAGAGAAGAGTAGAAGCAGTGAGCAAAGAAAAAAAGCAAAAAAAATAAATAGATAAAAACAATAAAATACTCCCATATTAGATTGGGAGGGCAAATCTTAATTCGAGTTGAGAAGATGGAGCCTATTTTGACTGAGAGTTATTTCTCAGTCAAGTTTCTAGATCGAGAAAAAAGGAACGAGAGAGAGAGAGAGGTGGGTGAGAAGAGAAAGCGATTGACCAAAACAAAGAAGAGAAAACTCTCGAAGCCAAGAGAGCCTAGGCTCCGTTTGGTCGTTCGGATTTCTAAATAGGATAGTACTGGATAGGATAGGATAAGAAATCCAGGGATTTCTCCAAGTCCTATCCACCGTTTGGTCAACTACGGATTTAAAGTCGGATATTCTCATATCCTATCCTATCTACCGTTCGGTAAACTTCGGATTTAAGTTGGATATTCTCATGCATAATTGTACTTAAAAAAATAATAACATTAGGTAAGTACAAACTGACATGTTAGATAATAGCAAAATCATTCAAAACAATATATTTTTTTTCAAATCAAAAGATTCTCACAAAATCTAACCGAATCAATCCATGATTGTGCATTATATGAAATATGCATAAAGAACCAAAGCAATCTCACGCTCATGTTTAGTTTCTCTCTTGTCGTCTTGTGGTTACCGTCTGCGTCGCGTGGGTCTGGAGGCACGGAGCCAGAAGGGAGAGAAGACAGACGATGGATCAAGAAACCATGGATCTGAAGATAGCGGCGGGCCAGCTGTTCCTGGAGAACTACTACAGGACGTTCGACGCGAACCGGGCGGATTTGGCGAACCTGTACCGGGAAGAGTCGGTGATGATCTTCGACGGCCGGAAGTTGCAGGGCAAGGAGGCTATCCTTGCCGAACTCACCTCCCTTCAGCAGTGCCGGCACCAAATCCACACCGTCCACTGCCAGCCCACGGTCGTCAGCAGCAGCGACTTGCTCGCCACGGTCACCGGCTACATGTGGCTAGACGGCGAGCAGGACGCCCGCCCTTTCTCCCAGGTTGAAGGATCCATTCGTAATTTTTTTTTTATTTAATTTCTTTTTGAGCGTCGAAGGAGGATGGTGGTTTGGATGAGATGGGCATTTTTGTTGATTGAATATCACCACCTTGGGCGATCCCATCATTCATTGTTAGCCAGAGAGTATCTGTTTCTGTTTTATAAGAAGATTTTATAGAGAACCGTATTGTATTGTTGTTGCTCCTCCGATGAAGTTTTCGAAAAAAAAAACAAAAAAGCTAACTTTTGAGGTGACGCCTAAAGAAATTTACCTGAATTCTTTACAATTTCTCTATCGAATCGGACACCTCGTCCTCAATCGATCCATGGATCGATCAATCGTATTGAATTTTGATACTACTGAGTCGTGTACCCGTTGTGCCCCCGTGTACATCTCGAGCGAGTTTGTCTAACGCTCTGCTGTTATTCTGCCCTCAGATGTTCATTTTGATCCCAACACCGGAAGGAAGCTTTTATGCATCGCGCGGCACTTTCCAATATTTCGGATTCGAATTGCGCGGGACCACCACGGCTTGATCGGGAATGGAATGGAATGTCCAGGATGAACCGTTTTCTTTTCTCTAGGAGCCCCGGTGTGGGGTGGGGAGGGTTGGGGGAGGGGAGTTTCAGTCTGTCTTATTTTCAACGTTCTACTGCAGTACCGTTTGAAACAGATTTCTATATATAACGTGCGTGCGTTGCAGCCGTGTTTTCCTTTTAACTATGTCTGAGGCTTGCAGTTTTACTTAGGCCCCTTATTGTTGTTGATCCTACGTGTGTTTTTTCCTTAACTATGTCTGATGCTTGCAGTTTTACTCAGACCAATTATTGTTGATCACGTGTGTGTGTTTTCCCTAACTATGTGATGTAGAACAGTTAGCCTGTGATTATCTTGAACAATGTGATCGCCGTAATCACCGGAAATCTCGGCAGTTTTTCTGATTTTGGGGAAAACAACCATTCAAGCAGTTTCCTATATTACCAGTAAGGCAGTTTCCTATATTATCATTTAGGCAGTTTCCTATATTACCAGTAAGGCAGTTTCCTATATTACCATTCAGGCAGTTTCTTTAATTATTCCGTTTTCATTAGTATTAGGAGTCCTATCTCTATATATAAGATGTCCGTCTTGTAATCAGAAACACAGTATTATAGAATAAAAATTTCGAGTTCTTTGGAGTTGTTCCAAATTTACGCTTCTCTCTGCATCATTTGGTATCAGAGCAGGTTTTTCCTGTGACGATGGTGAATAACGTGAATGTCAATCTCCCCGCTGCGGCCGTGAGAACGAGCCTATTACGCGCGCTGAGTTCAATCAGTTCGTGGATCAAACCGATCAGAGGTTTCAAGAGATCCTTGATGCCATCCAGCGTTTGTCCACAAACCATGCGCCTGGCGTTCTTCCAGCCGAGCGAATTCCTGTCGTTCGTGATCCCGAAGATGCTATGGGGCGTGGAGGAATTCCCCGACATAGGCGTCAAGACTATGTGATACGGAAGGCGAAGACGGTGATTTCCAGGAGATGCAGATTCGTGGTGGTCGCCGATACAAGGGATTCCAGGAGGAGCATGTTCGTGGGAATCGACGTCAGGGAGGATATCGACGAGATCCTGAGCAGTATCAACTAAAGGTAGATCTCCCTACTTTCAATGGGAATTTGGATATTGAAGATTTCCTTGACTGGCTTTGGGAGGTCGAGAAATTCTTCGACGCTATGGATATTGACGAGGATCGCCAAGTGAAACTTGTGGCGTACAAGTTGAAGGGTGGCGCTTCAGCTTGGTGGGAACAGACTCAATTGACGCGACGTCGACAAGGCAAGGCTCCTATTCGATCATGGGGTCAGATGAAACAGAAGTTGAAGAAGAGGTTCCTCCCAACGGACTATGAGCAACTGTTATTTCAGCAATTCCAGAATTGCCGACAATTGAATAGATCGGTCCAAGCTTATAGGAAGAGTTCCTTCGACTCTCCGCTCGCAATAACCTGGATGAGTCCGAGGCACAACAAACTGCTAGGTACATTAATGGTTTACGACTTAATATCCAGGATCGGGTTTCTTTGCATCGACTATTCTCTGTCGAAGACGCCCAGGATATGGCGCGAAAAATTGAGGTGCAATTGGAGAGGACTAGCCCTAGTACTCGTGGTAGCAATTATTCGGGTCGTGGGTCATTCGGGAAAGGAAGACAGCCTGATGTTACAAGTTCTTCTAGTCAACAAACACCTGATTCGAGCCGAGTTCTAGGGGGTACTACTGGGACGCCTAAGGAAGCAGTCGCAACAAACAATCGCACTCCCAATCAGAATACCCAGAATCCATATGCCAAGCCCCAACCGATCAGGTGCTACAAGTTTAACGAGTTGGGCCATCGTTCCAGCGATTGTCCTCGTCGTAGAATGGCCAATATCGTTGAACATGACGAAAATGTGTATGAGGAAGATTGCGAAAATGAAGAAGAAGTGGGAGTGGAAGATGAAGTGGGCGAGCAAGTTAATTGTGTTGTGCGTCGTCTATTGCTTGCTCTGCGGACAGAAGATACCCAGCGGAATCAGCTTTTCCGCGCTCGCTGTACTGTCAATGGCAAAGTATGCGATATCATTATTGACAGCGGAAGTTGCGAGAACATAGTGTCAAAGGCCTTGGTGGATCACTTGCAACTAAAGACGGAGCCGCATCCCGCGCCCTACACGATCGAGTGGATACGCAAGGGAGCAGAACTTAAGGTAAACCAATTATGCCGTTTGCCTATTTCAATCGGAAAATCATATTAAGATACTATTGTCTGTGATGTTGTGGAGATGGATGCGTGTCATGTTTTACTGGGTCGACTATGGCAATATGATGTTGATGCTACACACCGAGCTAGGGAGAATACGTATTCTTTTGTGTGGTAAAGGACTAAAATTACTTTGAGACCAAAAAGTAATTCCCCTCAGATTGTGAAGAAGCAAAATGCAAGGGTTATGATGAATATCCGAAAGCGTGAAGTGATGTATATGATTGTGGACAAGAGCGACCATCAAGTTGTGGTTCGTGTTCTCGACATTCTTAAGCTCTTATTAAAGGTATTCAGTGATGTTATGCCTGAGGATTTACCTGACGGATTAGCTCCTTTGAGGGATATCCAGCATGAGATTGATTTTCTTCCAGGTGCTAGTCTTCCTAATTTGCCACATTATTGGATGAATCTGAAGGAAAATCAGATTCTACAGGAGCAGGTGGGAGATCTCCTTCGAAAGGGCTTCTTGCGTGAAAGTAAAAGTCCATGTGCAGTTCCTGCGCTTCTCACGCCAAAGAAAGACAGCACCATGCGTATGTGTGTAGACAGTCGTGCCATTAACCGGATTACTGTCAAGTATAGGTTTCCGATTCCACTACTTGATGATATGCTAGACAGACTTGCTGGATCACGGATTTTTACGAAGATCGACCTTCGAAGTGGATACCACCAAGTTCGTATCAGCCCCGGCGACGAATGGAAAACGGCCTTCAAGACAAGTGCGGGATTGTACGAATGGCTTGTCATGCCGTTTGGACTCACATGCAGTGATATACCTAAGCAGTGGGACCGGTATCTTGATCCTGCTGAGTTCGCCTTCAACAACTCAGTTAACCGCTCTACCAGTACATCTCCCTTTCAGGTCGTTTATGGGCGTACACCACAGCATACTCTGGATTTGGTTCCCTTGCCCAAGATTCCAGGCTATAGTGTCGCAGCAGAGAAGTTGGCGACCAGAATTAATGAAGTCCAAGCTGCTGTGGCTAGTCAATTGGCTGCTTCTAATTCAAAGTATAAGGAGGATGCTGACGAACGGCGACGTTCGAAAATGTTTGAGGTAGGCGATGAGGTAATGGTTTTCCTACGAAAGGAGCGTTTTCCTGTAGGTACCTATAATAAACTGAAGCACAAGAAGATTGGTCCTTGCCGCATCCTGAAGAAGATCAACGACAATGCCTATGTAGTTGAACTTCCTGGTGATCTCAACATTTCCCTTACATTTAATGTGGTAGACTTATTTGAGTATCATGCTTCTGATACACCCCTCTATCCTGATCATAACTCGAGGGCGAGTTTTTCCGAAGAGGGAGGGAATGATGTAGAACAGTTAGCATGTGATTATCTTGAACAATGTGATCGCCGTAATCACCGGAAATCTCGGCGGTTTTTCGATTTTGGGGAAAACAACCATTCAAGCGCTTTCCTATATTATCATTTAGGCGAGCCTATATTACAGAGCGGTTTCCTATATTATCATTTAGGCGCTTCCCTATATTACCAGTAAGGCAGTTTCCTATATTACCATTCAGGCAGTTTCTTTAATTATTCGGTTTCCATTAGTATTAGGAGTCCTATCTCTATATATAAGATGTCCATCTTGTAAACAGTTAGCCTGTGATTATCTTGAACAATGTGATCGCCGTAATCACCGGAAATCTCGGCAGTTTTTCTGATTTTGGGGAAAACAACCATTCAAGCGTTTCCTATATTATCATTTAGGCAGTTTCCTATATTACGTAAGGCGTTTCCTATATTATCATTTAGGCGCTTTTCCTATATTACCAAGTAAGACAGCTTTCCTATATTACCATTCAGGCAGTTTCTTTAATTATTCGGTTTCCATTAGTATTAGGAGTCCTATCTCTATATATAAGATATCCGTCTTGTAATCAGAAACACAGTATTATAGAATAAAAATTTCGAGTTCTTTGGAGTTGTTCCAAATTTATGCTTCTCTCTGCGTCACTATGTCTGAGGCTTGCAGTTTTACTTAGACCCCTTATTGTTGACCACGTGTGTGTGTTTTCTCCTTAACTATGTCTGAGGCTTGCAGTTTTACTTAGACCCTTTTATTGTCGATCACCTGTGTGTGTGTTTTCATAGTATCATCAACTGATTTAGCCCATCAAGATCTTTGTCAAGACCTTGAAGGGCACCAACTTTGAAATCGAGGTGGAGCCTAAAGACGCGGTCAGTTTCTTCTTCCCGCTTTTGTTGGTTTTGAAATATGGTTTCATCATCCGATGAGACGTTGTGGGCTTCTTCAGTTGGGGAAATTCAATTGCTAACCAAGGTGTGATGTGTGTGCACATTCGTTTCTAGCCTAGATCTTGACAATAAGAAGCACCTAGGTACTAGTTGAGAATGTATAGGAGCTTGTGGCTTGTCGGAAGTGTGAACGTCTTTTCTCCGAGCCGCTTTCGTTGTGCTGCAGAAATGCAGTATTTCACCAGTTTTGCTGTTGTGGAATCTAAATACAAGCTTCTGCGCTGGTTTGGTGGTACTTAGATATTGCTGTGCAAAACAGAAATAGCTTCACCAATTTTAGTCTTTGGAAATCCTAAATACTTTGGAGTGCCCGATGAGTTTTCTCACCACATGTGTGTTGACACCTATTTTTAATTTGCCCAAAATTAATTGCACAAAATTTAGGAGTTAATTTTATTTAATTCCTAAAACAAAAATATTTCTATTTAAATGCATTGCATATAGAAATTAGGTACATTTGCACTAATAGAGTCTATTATAGAGTTTAATTTAAAAAAAAAAAAAAATCGAGTCGGGCCGGGTCGGATTTTCTTCTTCTGTATTATTATTATTTTTTTTTTCTTCCGAAAAGAAAAAAAAATTTATTTAATTTTTTTGAAATAGCTTCACCAATTTTAGTCTTTGGAAATCCTAAATACTTTGGAGTGCCCGATGAGTTTTCTCACCACATGTGAAAGAAATGGTCGTCAAAACTGAAACAAGAACTTGCGAAATGATTCATTAAGGTCAGTCTGGAATTTTTGGGTCGGTCTCGTTCTTGAGTTGCTTATGGGGGTGAATTT